CGCTAGGTGTGCGAGGCTGACGTATTTTGGACAATCCACCTACCAGGGTTAAGGTGCCTCGGGCCAGTTGGGGGGGGCAAACCCTGCCCGCCCCCTAGAACCCCAGGTAAGGCCCAGGTGTGGCCTAGGGCATCAGAAGGGACCAAGAGGAGTCCAGTCTGAGCCATAGAGCCCATGTCTTTGCCCCCGAAGGTCGCGTTCAAATGCCCGGAACGGACGTTACAGTGGTGTCCGGCCGGCGCGATCACCGAGCTGTGACGCTCAGGGAAGCCTGATGAGGTACTGGTTTCTTTGCCCAGGCCTGGCCTACGACCCATGCTGGATCAGCTGAGCAAGGTTTGGGGAGAATCCCCCATTCAGATCTTCAGATATTTTGACGGATGACCGAAATCACCCCGTTTTTGCCCATTTTGTACAGCTCTGGCCGTCTCTTCCTTCGCAAGGGCCCCGCCCCCCAGAGCTGGGGGTGGGGCCCGCGCAGGGGACCTCTAGTCCAGTGCTCAAGTGCTCAAGTGGCCCCCCCCAACTGGTTGGCTCCCGTGACGAAAAACGAAGACGCACCAAGCGCTAAGCGTGAGGACACGATTTCGAATTCGTAGGAGCATCTGAGCAAAATTGAGTCCGCTCAGGTGTGAACAAAAAAGTATAAGGGTCGACCAGGTTTCGAACTGGGGACCTCCCGCTAGCGGGAAAGTTTCGGTTCGGAAACCTATGTATGTAGGAAGTGGAGCCAGAAGATTGGAGGGGGGGGGGGGGGGGGACGAGTTGGCGGGACGAGTTGGAGCGCGAGGGCGGCGAATTGGCACAGAGCTCAGAGCCGACCAGTCGATTGCCGTGCTACTGCGTTCGCTGCCGCTGGCTGCTGCCTGCCGCCGGCTGCCGCTGGCTGCCGGGCGCCCGCCGCAAATGGAAGACGAGGGCTACGTGGTGGCGGCGGCCGCGGGGGCCGCTGGCACACGAGGTGTCGCGGTGAGGCACAGAGAATGGAGAGCCGAGCGCATCGGCGCATTATGCCATCGCGTTGCGGTCAGGGCCTCGGCGACGGAGAGCGGGGCGGAGGAGCGGATGAGGCCGGGGCGGCGATCAAGTGGAAGTGGAGCATAGACGGAGGGGAGCTCTTCGAGGAATGCCTCCGCAGGGCCAATAGAAGTCAATGCAGTGGAGGAGCAAGCATTGAGTGAGGGGCCAACGGAAGGCGGGAGCGGCCTTGTGGGGGTATAGCATACCGGAGGAATTAGACACCACAGATCGCACACACCGACGCCCGAAGTGCCAAGAAGGACGTCACCTCAGAAGGCCATGGCCGAGAGAACATTCCCCCGGGAGGACAAAAAAGGGCTTCGCACCCCCTCCTTGCGCAGTGACCCTCGCTAAGTGTCGCCGTTATCAGGGCACGCTATCCTGCGCAGGCAGGGCAAGTGGGGGCGAGGCGCAGTCCCTCTGGTCTATACTGGTGTGGTTCTGTCCCTAGTCTCGGAGGGGGGCAAAAAGATAAGAATATCTATTTTTTCAAGTGCCCCCCCCCCGCTGTGACTTGCGGGGGGGGGGGGGGCGGAAAAGAGGAACCTCTTAGCGCCATCGCCATGGTGCTGCAAGCAGCGCCGGGCGACGACGACTTACCGCCTCCCGGTCCCCCTCGGCACACCTCCGCTGCTCAATGTTTGACGACTCGAACCCATGAAGCTTCCCCGTGTGTCGGGAATCGTAAAGAGTAAAGGACTAAGTATGACGTCGCTACAATGTGCGCGCTCCACCTTCCATGACAATGTGCGCGGGACAGACACGGACACAGGAGGAAGGGAGGGTGGCTCCTCTCTCAGAGAGAGACACGCACATGGGTGAGGGGTGGAACACGTTCACACCGGGACGCCTTATCTCTTACACCGTGCGCGGGTTGACGTGCCTCGGCCGGCGTGGTCCGAAATCGCATGCCTCGTTTTTCGCGCGCGTGGTCCCAAATCCCATCCTCGATGATCGAATCGCCGAAGTCGCTGAACCGACGGTATTGCTCGTTCTGCCGCTCAGCCTTGGCAGCACTCGGTGTAGTGCTCACCATCGCAGTCATGGGCGCATGGAAGGACGCCGCTCGTCCAGCCTTTGAGCGTGTGCTTCCGCTGGCGCCGGTCGAGGATAGCTCTGTGCACCTGAATCTCACCACTGTTTGCAGCCTGCTTGACCACGAGGTCGAAGGGAGCTCGCCAGGAGACGTCATGCGGTTCTACCTGAACGCGGGCGGACCGTTCTGCAGGATGACGCTACGCGGTGCTCTTGGTGGATGCCTCGCGGTGAGCGAGCCCGACTGGATCTTTCTTGAGCATTTCATTGGCTACTGGGCGGCTGAGCGATGGGCTCGCGCTCCCGACGGCCCACTCGTCGATTACCTTGCGCAGGCACAGCGGGGACCACCTATTCACGGCGGTATCTGGCACGCTTTACTGGATGCTCACTTACCTGAGGAAGAATTGTGGCCGTATGGGTTGAGCCTTTGCAATCAGACGCAGATGGAGTGGGTGGGAGCCATGTACAACTGTGTGCACGGCATGGGACATGCATTTCTTATGTCGGCGCTTCGTGACACCGGGATCCCTTCTCTTTCAGATCGGTGCACACCTTGGCGCGCTGGCCAACGTCTTGGCTATGAGGTTCGCGACGAGATCTTGCGCCACGCACTGCGTATCCTCTACTCAGGCCCAAGCTCGGCGCAGATCCAAGTGGCTTCCATGGGACTGTACGAGGCCTATTTTATGCTCGTTGAATCTCAGGTCGGCTCAACAGCGGGCGCTGGGGACTTTGACGTGTGTGCCAAAGCGCCGCTTGGGGCGCGCGGCTCGTGTTTCCTTGAGCATCGGAGATGGATGCTACACGCCTACGAATCCGGACTCTCAACCAGCGACTACTCGACCCGCTCAGAGGGGTGCACGGCCACAAACATGAGTTCTGCACACCGAGATGCATGTATGGCCGCAGGAATGCCATCCTCTGGGCACACCTTTCGCAGCTGCATGCAGGGCGTCGCGAAGCCAACCGCACGTTTTCGTGCTTGTGCATCGTGGACTGGCCCAATGGTTGCTGCTGCTGGAGCTAGATCCTTTATTCTCTTTCGACTGTCTCAATGGCTACAGCTGTGGCAGCTCCGTGTGCTCGAACGTGATTACAACGTGCAAGGCGTTGCGGACGAACTCGACCTCTTTTATCGTTGGATTGACTCTGTGATGGATTGGGCTACATACTGGAAGGTACTGGACCACTTCGGCGAGGCAGCTGCAATGTACCTTTGGTAAACCGGCGGGGAAGAGAAGGCGAGGCAGCTGCAATGTACCTTTGGTGAACCGGCGGGGAAGAGTTACTTGAAGAGAAGTAAGAGTAGGAACGAACACACCGCCACATTCCATCAGGAACAGCACTGCGGTACTAGTAGTATAATCTAGTAGGCGTAGCCCTTCCGATCTTTAGTCTGTGCGAGTGAACTGAGGAGAAGCGGACCTGGCCTCGAAGCAGTGTGAGGCAAGCAGCCACGGCAAAAGGGCATCGGACATTTAGGTATATGACTTGTGTGCTCTCAAGTTGTCCAAGTAGGCAAGTGTATTTATAACTCACCCGGAAAATAGAAGATTTGCCTGTACTTGAGGCCACCCCCTGCGAGCGGGCGGCCGGGGCGGGTGCGCGCGCTAGGGTGCGCGCTGACCTGTGCCTCTTTGTGTGCGTCTCGCCCCTGTACGAGTCTCGCCCATCCTCTCCCGGAGATGCCTGCTCTAACTATTTCTGAGGGAGAGGTACACCTGGGGGAGGGTGTAGAGGATGCAGAGTGTAGAGCACTGTAGAGCTGTAGAGCTGTTCAGTGACGGGTAGAGCGCTGGAGAGCGCTGTAGAGCTGTAGAGCTCTCCATCCGGCGCGTGACAGGAAGGGAAGGCGGAAGGGATGACGGATGTGAATGAGCCGCCTGTGTAGAGCGATTCGATAGAGCGATGTAGAGCGATGTAGAGCGATATTGGAGAGAGAGCGCGATTTACACGTAGCAACCCTTTTCCTGGCTCACAAGCTAAAGATGTTTACGCATCACGGGCCCCCACGGGCGACACGGACGACAACTGCTAAAAACCAAAAATCTTCTCACGGACGGAGGTGGGGAGCCCCGGATCTCCGGGTACTCTTTATAGCTGTACTCGTCTTGGCAGGGGTATTACTTAGTGATTTCACTGTGAGTGAAATCGCACTCGACATCGCTCTACAGGCGACTCACATCGTCACGCGCCGGATGTAGAGCTCTACAGCTCTACATACAGCGCTCTCCAGCGCTCTACATCTCTACAGACAGCTCTCAGACAGTGCTCTACACGCTACTGTGCATGTCAGGCCAGGCTGCAGCAGGGCACTACCATCGTGCTGCCCTGTTGCAGCCTGACTTTTCCCACTGTGCACAGTCGCCAGAGCACCACCACCGCCCGGCATCGTGTCACGGCGAGCTCCTTCTGCGCCCGCTCGCGAGGCTCTCGCGCTGGCACACTTTGGCCATCTGCTGCTCGCGTTCGGCGAGCTCTTCTCCGCAATCCTGCCACGGTGCCGCCACCACACACCTTCTGGCCGGCCTGAGCCGCGCGGACTCGCCGGCGGGGGCAACGTGTCGACCTCTCTCTCTGGTGCACCACGGGCCGCAACGGCCTGCGAGCAGCTGGCGCGAGGAGGCAGTGTGCCGGCACAGTCGAGCCGGAGCATCGGGTTCTTGATGCTTGTGGGGTCGAGTTTGACCTTATGTGGCATAATATGCAACAATAAGGCTATGCTATCTCCCGGCTTTTTGAGATATGATCCCTCAAAGTCGAATTATGGTTTACTGGTGACCATAGTACCGTCTGTCTTGTTTGCGAGATCTTCAAACGAATACTTTAAAGTCTCGACAATCACTAAGCTGCTTATGTGGCACCGCAGAGGCTCCCTTGGGGATGCCTGAGGCCACCCCAACCACTCACCAAGCCTTACGTGGACGAATTCAAACCTACTTTTATGGTTTACCCACACTAAGCGAGTAGGTCCTCCTGAAGGAGCTCGCCTCGCCGGCCGCCTCCTCCCGGCCAGCATACCCGCCGAGTGCGGCGTATGTGGCGCCGGCGTCGCCGCTGGCCATCCTGGCTGCCGCCGGGCTCTCGTCGCCAGCCCTCGCGCTGTGCCGCTCCCTTGGCTGTGTCGGAGCGGGCTCGCAGGTCAGCGGCGCGTCCCCAGCCTCGCCGCCGCCCCCCTCGACGCCGCTCCCCTCGCCGCCGGTGGCGACCGCGCTGCCGATGTCGGTCGCGCTGGCCGGCAGCGCGTCCGCAGCGTCGTCGCTGCCCTCGCCGTCGCTGTCCTCGCCGCTGGTGGGGGCCGCGTCGCCGGCGCCGAGCGTCACCCGCCTCCACGTCTCTTCCTCTAAGTTGAGCCAGAAATCCTGGTCGGGGTAGCCGTCGTACGCGACCGCGTGCACGAGCCGGCCGTCGGAACCCTCCTCCCGCCCCGTGATGGTGCCTGGCCACCACCTGTGCTCGCCCAGGATCTCGACGTGAGTGCCTGCCTCGACGACGGCGTGCCCGGCGATCCTCGCCGCCGCGTCCACGCGCAGCCGCTTCCGACGCGCCGTCTTTGGCTCCGCGGGCTGCGGCAGCACGTAGTTCGGGCCGGACTCCGCCACGCCCGCGAGGACCTCGGCCGCGCTCACGGTCTCGACCGTGGCCTCGACCGGCGGAGGGGGGAGCTCGACCCGTCGTTCGACCCTTCGGTCCGTGACCTCCCGCGCCAGCCGCTCGCCAGCGAGGGGTTCCTGATGCGCCGCCCGTCGGTCGACGCCCTCGCCCCTGCGCTCGGCCAACGACGCCGTCGCTGTCCTCGCCGACGTGACGGTGATTCGAGGCCGCCCATCCGCCATTTGATGCCGTCCAACACCAAGTGGTTCCCCTCCAACACCAAAGTCGTTCCCCCCGTCCCCCTCGGACACGTCCCTCCCTGTCCTCTCGACTCGTTCCTCTACTTATATACATACATCCTCTACACCCTCCCTCCCTCGAGGCAACGGTGCTCCGCCAGACAGAATTCGGCCCAAGAGGAACGAAAACCCAGAAAGGAAAGAAAAAAGTCGCCCGTCGAAGCACCCATCGAGCAGCCCCCTTCCGAGCGATCGCGATGCCTGCTGAGGTCCTTGTTGACTCTTGCGATCGCAGCTGCGGGAAGCTCCCACCCACCCCTGCCACACGCGCTCCATGAAGAATGATAGATACACATAGAAAGCATGATCCATGGAAAGGTCTGGTCTCCCAAAAGAAACTCGTCCCATGCGAGCTCCTATCAATGGAGAATAAAAAACGCGAGCCCCGCCCGTCGAAACCGTTCCCTTGCCCGAAAAAACAACTCGGCCTGCCCGTCGAAGCAGCCGTAGCCCCCTTCGAGCCGGCCATGGTCTTCGGCCTCACGCCCTCCCTCTACGTTAAGGCTGGCAGCTTCATCTTCGGCGCCTACGGTCACGCCGCGCCGCTCGTCCGCCGCCGCGCGCCGCCCGCTGCTCCCTGCTCGACCCGCTTCCGTCCCCTGCCCCCAGGAGTGCAGATGCTGCTCGTGCCCTCCAACATGATGACCGACCACTTTGAGGCGCACATATGCGTCCCTTGCCCCCCCCCCCCCCTCGCGCGTTGCCGCCAACTCGCCTTCCCGCCTCCAAAGCCCCGCGGCCGCCTCTCGATGCCGCCTCCAAGCTCCAGCCACTGCGGCACGTCTGCTCAAAAGCCCGGCGGCCGCCTCTCGATGCCGCCTCCAAGCCACTGCGGCGCGTCTGGCAGGCGCCGGCCACCAAATATACGGACTTCTGGATCCGTGGCCAAAGCGTCAGCATCGCCACCGTTGTCTATTGCATGACGAAGCTGCCGGAGGATGTCGCGGCAAAGGCACTGCTCGGTCTCTCGGCTGGCATCGCCGTGCTCTACCCCTTCAATGCCAAGTTCGGATACCTCTCGAGCCTGGAGGTCAAGTACCCGATGTACCACTTCGTGCTTTCCGTCGGGATGGACGCAATCAACAGCGTCTCTTCACAAACCGTGCTGTGAACAGGCACTATGTCCCCGAGGCGCTCATGCTCGGCCTGACCGTCGCGGGCGTCCTCGCGCTCAAGTGACGTGCGAGGTCTTCTCGAATCTGCGATTCTACGGTGTTCGCCAATGGTCGCGCCTGCACCTCCTCTGGCGCTCTTGCGAGAAACGGCTAACGGGGAGGGGGTTCGGTGTGCGAGATGAGAGGGCAGCGGGATTCCCACGGGCGACTTAGGGACTCTCTGGTGCACTGCGTCGGGCGTGCCCATGCGCGCGCGATACGCAAAAAAACAGTTTCATTGTGGAGCCACTGAGAGAAAAAAGAGACGCCGTCGGTCAACCCGTCATGCGGCAGGTGGCTTGCTTTGCCTTTGGCTCGCTGCCACCGCGGTGGGTCACCAAGCACTCGCTTGCTTTTTTTTCGCTCCAGTCCTGCGGATCTTCTAGTAGACCGGAGGGCTACGAAGCCTTTCACACTCCAAGGGGCTGGTCACCAAGAGCTTCTCCGCGTGCGGCGTCATCACCGCGCGACGCGCTCGCCACGCCTCACCCGAGCAAAAGCAACGATCGCGCGCCGCCGCCGCCCGCCTCGCCGCGCCGCGCCGCGCCGCGCCTCGCCACGCCTCGCCTTGCAGCAGCGCACGCGCACGCGCACGCGCACGCGCACCCGCGCGCCCGCGCTCGCTCCGCGAGAGCGAAGCGACCTTCCTCGCGGGAATCGAACCTGGAGCCAAAAGGTCCCGGCTCGAACCGCGAACCGGTTCGACCACCGCCGCTGGCGGTTCTGCAAAGGCAGTCAGGGGCAGCGCCTGATATAACGTGAAATAGTGCGACGATCACCCGACCCACCGTGCCCTCGCGAAAGAGATCTCGCGCCGCGCGCGCTCGCACACGCCGCCCGAGAGCACTCCCACCCCCGCCGCCCTCGCAAGCTCACAGGTTGATTTGAGGAGAAGCAGCTGGGGAGGTCAAAGCGGGAGAAGGCGGCACGGCGGCGGCGGCGCGGCCCCCCCCCATCCCCACGCCTCCGGGTCGTGCGTACCGCCTCCGGGCGTGAGTGTCCCCCTAGCGTCTGCTCCAGCAGTCGCTCCGGTAATCAGGCCGAGAGTACCAGGGAGGAGGGGAGAAGAGCCCAGGGTGGGGAGAGGAGAAGAGCCTAGGGAGGGGGGAGGAGAAGAGCCCAAGGCGGCCTCCCTCTCCCTCCCCTCCCACCGGGCCTCCCTCTCCCCCTCCTCCCGGGCCAAGCACCGACAGTCTCAAGGGGCCCGCCGCTGGAAGGGGCAAGCCAGCGGCACGAGGGCTTCAGCCACACAGCTACCAAGGGAACGCGACCCACACAAAGCACCAAAGTTAGGCATACCCCCCGGCGCAGTGTCCCCCGCTATGTGTCGCCGTTTGTCGGGGCACGCTATCCTGTGCAGTCAGGGCAAGTGGGGGCGGGGTGGAGTGCCCAGGAGCGTGCCCTGGGATTTCTCTGCCCAGTCCGGGGGTGCGTCGAACCTTCCATCACCCTGGGAACGTCCGGGTGATGGAAGTAAAGATATATTACTTTTTGTGGAGCCACTGAGAGCTCGGGGCGGGGTGTGCACCAGTGTGAATATACCCAGCCCGCGGTGTATATACCCGCCCCACACAGACGTATACCTGGCGTCCTGGGTCGACCCTCCAACTCTCTGCCCTCCAAGCTCTCCAACGGCAGTGAACGCGTCCGACCGCTCGACCATCGAGCTGTTTAGCAATTTCAGTCCACATCCTCGACGACGCCATTCCCAAACGACCACGTCGAGTCACCTGGCGGCGGCCCCATCCCCGCCGACCCCGCCGACCCCGTCGCCGCTGGTGCCGGTGGGACAGGACGAGGCGGGGCCGACTCCGACGTCCTGGCGGCCTGCATCGCGCTGGCCGCGGGCGGCGGCAACAACGGCGACGGCGGCGGGCGCACGCCGAAGACGGAGCCGGGGCCGCAGCCCGGAGGAACGACGACTCGCATGAGCCCCATCGGCGTGGAGAGCTGAAGGCTTTGCCCCGGCGCGACACCGTGTGGGACCGTGACCGAGAGGACAGCGCCTGTGCCTGCCAGAAGCGATGCGGCCGAGACGTCCGATGGACGGTGGGCGCAGCCCGGCAGCTGAGGCCGCGGCTGGGAGAGGGGGCGGCTCGGAGACGGTTGGCTCCGCGGCGTTGGCAGCTTCTGCCCGCCGCCGCCTCCACCGAGTCGCTGCCGCTTGCGGCCAGCGGCTGGGAAGGCCTGCTCGCAATAAGCGACCAGCGCCGCCTCGGCAGCACCCTCCTCCGGGAGTGGTGGCAGCGGTGGCTCTGAGCTCTGCGCCCTCGACGGCGTCGGCGGCTCGACGCTCGATGTCGACATCCTCGAGCTCTGCGCCCTCGACGGTGGCTCGACGCTCAATGTCGACATCCTCGACGGCGCCGCCGCGCCAGCCGGCGCCGCCGCGACAGCCGGCGCCTGCTCAGCGCCACCCTCGACGCCGTCGAGACCCATCGGCGTTGATCTCGCGGAGTCGTGAGCGCCTGTCTCAGCACCCGCGCTCGCCGCCATCGCTGCGGTGGCTGCGGCGGCGGCAGCCTTGGCGGCGGCCACCTCGGCGGCGGCGGCGGCGGCGGCGGTAGTGCCGGCGCGCAAGATTCCAAACGCCCTTTCGAGGAGAACCGCCCGCGCCGGCAGTCCCGCGGGCTCGAGCTGGGCGGCGAGCTCGTCGTCCTGGTAGAGCCTACGAACGTCAGGGGCAGTTCCATGATGCGCACATGCATGAAGGGCGAACTGGGAACTCCTCGGATAACACCGGTAGGCTGCGCGCAGCAGCCGCCTCGCGGCGGAGACGTCGCAGCGCGACTTTGCGCCGTCGGTGGGCAAGGAAGCGCAGAGGCCACGTGCAAAGTTCCGCAGCGCGGCCCCACGCTTTGCCTCCATCCGCTCCTCTTTGAGCAGCGCACAGAGCGAGACGAGCGACTCGAGCTCGCGCGCTGGGTCGGCGGAGGCGCTCGCCGAGCCAGCCAACACCTCTGAGTAGAGGCCGGCGGCGTCTGCGCAATCTTGGTACAACTCAAAGGTGCGCAATATCGGGCCGCAACAGCTCTCATCTACGACCGGCGCCGCCGCGCGGGACGGCACCTGCGGCGAGAGCGGCAGGCAATAGTAAGGTGGGGCATGGCCAAAGCAACATGTGCGCGTGATATCAGGCAGTTTTGGCCTGGAAGATCGAGAAGGACATGCTGCCACTGCGGCCGCGGCTGGGCATGAGGTCACGCAACTCCTTCAGCGCGCGGCCGGGACGCCTCCTGTGCCGGTGCCAGTGCAGCCGCGCGAGTGCGAGCCGCGCACGGTGGAGCCACGGATTCGTCTTGAGCGCCGCCACCAGGATCGACTCGCACGCCGCATAGCCCTGAGCGAGGGTGGCTTGCGCGATCGCCCCTTCCGGCAGATGGCCGCCCACACCGGCACTGCCCTCGCCGCTGCCACCGCCGCCACCGTCGCCACACGCACCGCCGTTGCCATAGTCGTAGTCGCCATTGCAGCACGAATCTGCCACTCCCTCCTCCTCTCCCTCCTCGTCCTCCTCGGAGCATTGGGCGAGGCTGTAGACTCCGCTCGACTTGACGTCGCGAAGAAAGGCGTCGAGCTGCGCCGACGCAGGCTCAGACTCGAGGAGCCCATCGAGGAGCGCGCCGCCCAGCTCTTGCAGAGCGAGTGCACACCGGTCGCCGGCCAATGAAGCCGAGAGGGCGACGGAGCGGCGGAGCTCGAGGATCCAGGCGCCTGCGCCGCCCTCGCCCAGCTCTCGCAAGGCGCGGCCGCGCAGCAAGTGCGCAGCCCAACGGCACGCCACAGGCAATCCATGCCCCTCCGTCTCGGTGTCGTCTTGCTGGCCCTTTTCGTCGTCCTCCTCGTCCTCCTCGTCCTCCTCTCCCCGATCCACCGCCGATCCCGCCCCCACCCCTGCCCCCGCCGCGGCCGTGGCCGCCACCGCCTCCTCCGTCTGCTCCGTCACTGGCCGCAGAAGCTCTGCAGTCTGCCGCAGCGCGTCCTGCCAGGACGTGTGGTGGCCCGTCCGCAGAAGCCGCAAAGCGAGGGGCCAACGTGACACGTCGCCGCCGCCGCCCGCCGCCTGACCGCCGCAGCTCCTTCCACCCACGCCGCCGCCCGCGCTGCCGCCGCCCTCCGGCGAGCGATCCTCAATGTACCGCAACAGCGCCGCTTCGGTGGAGAGGAGCATGGCGAGTTCGAGCCTGGCGTGCGCCCACACGCGCGCGAACCCGCCCGGTTGGCCGCACCACGCCGGTGGCGCGGCAATGGTCTGCGCCTCTCTTGGCGGGGGCAGCGCATCGACGAGCAGGCATAAGCAGCCGTGGGCAAGTCGCGCCGCGTCGCTCGCCGCGGCCGATGCGCCGAGGACGGACTGGCGCCACGTGGCGAGTGGTGCGGCAGGGTCGTGCAGCGCCGCGTCTACCTTCAGGGACCAGAGCTTGCGCGCGTGAACGCCGATCGAGAGCAGAACCCGCGCAGGCTGAACTGGCGACAGCGCCGCGGGCCAGCCGGCTCCTGCCGCATCGGGGGCGTCGGCCGGCACGCCAAAGAGCGCGAGCCGCAGAGCGTGGCTTCGGAGCGCATTGGACCACTCAAGGAAGCGCGCCTAATGGACTCCCTGCTGTTAGCGAGGGCTCACCCTCCCAGTGAGGTTGCTAGTTAAGGTGGAGGAGGCGGAGGTAGCGGGGGGGTGGCGGGGATGGAGGGGGTGGGGGGGAGGGCGACGGCAAGAGTGACATTGGGAGCTCGTGTCATGATCATGGAGGCGGTGACGGTGGTGGGATGAGTGAAGCGCACCCATCGCTCGGCAGCTGCGCACGTGGCACCCGCGATGGCGCCGCGCTCGACGCGCTGCAGCGACCTGTTGCAAACCTCCTCGAGGTGCTCCGACTCCCCGACCGACGCCTCGAGGCTCGCCAAGGCCGCGCAGAGGTGCGAGCCGAGGAGCCACACTTCCGTCTGCCCCGCCGAGCCTGAGGTGGATGTGGATGGAGGCGCCAGGGGCGCCGGGAGCAAGGCGAGGACTCCCTGCAACGCCCCGCCATCGTCGGCGCCGCTCGCGAGCGCGGGAGCGAGGGCGCGCAATGCTAGGGCTTCCCAGCGGCCCTCGCCCTCGCCAGACGCCAGTTCCGGCGGGAGGAAACGCCGCAAGTGGTCCCTCAGCCGTCGCCGTCGCTGTCGCTCTTTCTGCGACCTCACGCCGCCGCCGCCCACGATGCCCCCGCCGAGCGTACCCGGCGGGCACTGCATAAGGAAGTACTGCAAGAGGAGCTCGGCCTCACGCGGCGGGCAACTCGCAAAGTCAACCACCTTGGGGGGGTGCTGCTTGGCGCCGCCGCCGCCGCCGCCGTCGATGATCCCGCCAAAGAGTAGCTCGATGCAGCTGTCGAGCAGCTGCCGAACGCCGACGCCGACGCTCTGCATGCCAGCTTCTCTGTCGGCACCGCCACCGCCCCTTCCGGCCCCTGAGCCATCTCCCCCTAGCGCGGTGGCGGCGACGCGCAGCGGAACGTCGACCAACTGGTACTCGACCTGGCTTGGTGCGAGCGACGACCGCGTCGCCACATTCGGCGCATTTGGCCTTGACGCCTTCGCCGTCTTTTTCGTTTCTGCCGGCGCCGCCGCCTTTGGCGCCAGCTTGGCCGCGCGCCCTGAGGCGCCCTCGTCCCCGCGCGGCGCCTCAAGGCCGAGGAAACGCTTTGCAGCACGAATAGAGTCGTAGCGGCGCCCCTGCGGGGTGGTGAGGTACGAGTCGCCCTTAGAGGCGCCAGCCTTGCGCGCCTTCCAGCGGATGCTCCAACCAGCTGCACCCGGCACCGGTCGGTCCTCAAACTCGACCGCCTCTGAGTTGGCGAGCCGGAAAGCGTCGGAGAGTGCCGACGCAATCGCGTCGGCCTCCTCGCGCGCGCTGCCCTCGAGCGGCTGCCACGAGCTCTCCTCAGCAGCCGGCTCGGGCTCGGCGACAGCGGTGGAGATCACGCCCATGCCCGCCGCTGCCTCTGCAATCAGGCCGCCGATGCGCTCGTCGATGGCGCACACCACCGGTGCCGACGGCTTCGTCGGCCGAGCCACGCGCCACGTCTCCTCTGGCAGCTGCGGGCACGCGAGCATCGCCTCGGGCCACCGTAGCCAAGCGAGGGTGACGCTACTGATTTGCTGGGCGAGAGGCGCCTCGTGCCGCGGCTCCTGCCGAAAGCGCTTGGAGCCCTTGCCCCGCGCCGCCGCGCCGGGCGCAAGGGCAACCTCGAGCGACCTCGCCGCGACAGCCTCCCGACCGAGCAGCCCCCAGCAGCGCTGCAGCAGCACGAGCGCCTCAGCGACGCCACCGGTGCCGGTGCCTGTGCACAAACCATCCGTGTAAGGAAGCAAATCACGCGAGTGCGATCTAGCCGCGCAGGCCGCAACGGTACCACCAGCGAGCCAAAGCTTGCACAGCGCGCAGATCGCATAGTGCAGTGAGCGGCGGGAGCCCTTTGCGCCACCCTGGGTGGACCCGGTGCGCGCCCATCTTGGCAGCGCGCGCATGGCGACCTCGTACACCACCCGCTGCGCCGCGACCGCCGCAGCGCGCCAGTCTCCGCAGCTGAGCTCCGTCTCCTCGCCCGCCGTGGGCATCTCGGAGGGGGGTGCGGCTGCGGGCGGGGAGAGCAGCGGTCCGCGGTGCGAGGGGTGGAGGCACGAGAAGGCATCGAGCGACTGCAACAGCAGCGTGAGCATGTTGTGGAGAGATTGCCAAATCGCGTCAACCCTCCCCTCCGTGACATCCGCACCCGCCGCCAGTGTCGCCTCCGCAGCAGTGCCAGCCGACCCCCCTGTTGCCGCTCCCAAACGCTTCTGGGTCGGAGGAGGGGTGGACACGGCGAGCTGGGCCAGACAGCGTCGCAGCGCGGCACAGAGTGGGCTCAGCAGCTGGCTGAAACGCTCGCGAAGCCGCGGCAGCGGCACGAGTGGCGGCGGAGGGGATTCCCCCCTCGCGAACCCGCCGGCGCCACGGCACATGCCGATCCAACACAAACCGAGGAGCTGCACGCTCTCAGCCAGCTTAACATCCCCACCCGGGCTGGCCGCCGCCACCTCTCCGCTTGCTGCCTCGGCAGCCGCAAACGCCGGCGACCACGCCGCATCGCATATGCTTTGCACCGCGTCGCCCCCCAAGGTATCGGCACCGCCTGCGTGCGAAACGATGGCCGCCCACTCCCCGCCGGCGGAGGGAGCCGCCCGCACGGCGAGTCCAGAGAGGAGAGCGCGCGCCTCGTGCACCTGAGAGGGGGGGCGCGCGCGGGCGGCGTGAGCGGCGAAATGGCGCGGGAGAAAGAGGGACTGCAAATGCGCTGAGGAAGCGGAAGAGCTTGAACCCCGTGGCTCTTCCCATTCTGGAGAAGTGGAGGCGACTAAGCCCATGCGTGGCAAGGCGGCTCGCACCAACTTCTCGAGTGAGTGCCGCTGCTGCGCCTCCGACACGTCAGCCAAGGTGATGCGCCGAGAAGCACTGGCGCAGAGGGGATGCGCGAACGCCTCTGCCGCCGCCCCACCCTCCTCGCCGCCCCTCGCCTCGCCATCGGCGGCCATCGCGCGCAGCGCATGCGCGCACTCTGCGAGGTGGCGGGTCGCCGCGACCGCCTCGCCGTCTCGCTCAGCGTTCGTTGCAAGTGACCAGCTGAGGCGCGCGAGCGTGTCCGGCGCGGCCTCTTCCCCTCGGCTGATGGCCAGGAGGAGCGCTGCCTGTAGCTCACCAAACACGGCGGCAGCTTGCTCCCTCTCCTTGCCTCCTTGCGCCGGCCCGCCATCGCCACCGCCTCCACTGCTGCCGCCGTCGCCGCCTCTGCCACCGCCACTGCCCCCGTCCTCGAGCGAGAGCTCCAGGAGAGCGAGCAAACGAGCAGGGGGGGGTGCCGATCCCGTCTGCGACCGCGTCAGCGCATAAAGCTTCAGCAGCGACGCGCGCAGTCGCAAGCGTCCGGGCACAGGGAGGCGGAGCAAGCCGTCGGCAACGAGGCGGCGCTCCGAGGCAGGGCCAGAGGACGGCGGAGAAGCGGAAGAGGGCGGGGAGGCGCCGGACGGGCCGGGTGACGGGAGGATGAGGAGGCGGTCGAGAAAGGACGAACAGACGTCGAGGAGGCCATTGTTGAGCATGACGCGCTCGTCGCGCAGCCATGCCAACACGGACCGCTCCTCCTCCCATCTGGATGCGAGAGGAGCGTCCCGGCCCGCCTCCGCTGCCTGCCCCTCCGCCGCCGCCTCTGCCGCCGCCAACGCTCCCGACCGGACGCCAGAGGTGGGCTGGATAACGGGGGAAGGAGGGCTGGACGGGAGGGGCGGGAGAAAGCGCGCAAACAACTGCTGCGCACTCGCCGGCCGCTTAACCACCACGTCAGAGGCGCCAAGTGCGCCGCGGCGGCTGCGCTGCGGTCGCCGGCTCGCTGCTGCCGCCGGCTTGCGTCGCTTTGGAGGCGGCGCCTCCTCGGTGGGGGTAGGGGGCGGCTCCTCACCGCGAGAGCCCGCTAGGGCCGAGGCGCCGCCGCAAGCTGAGGGTGGCGCCTCCTCCACGGCCACCGCCGAAGCCGCGTCCAGCGCAGTGGGAACTGGCTCGGCTTGCTCCAGATGGCGCCTCTTGGCTCCGCCCGAGCTCAGAGACGAATCGCCAGCCTCCTCGCCGGCCGTCGTCACCGACGCCGTGGATGCCACCTCTCCAGCCTGGTCGGCCTCAATCGGGACAGCCTCCGCAGCCTCCGACCAACATGCCCCTCCCAATGCTGCCGCCTGTGGAGCGCTGCCGCCTGGGCCGCTGCTTCCGCCGCCGCCTTGGCCACCGGCCTCGCCCACCCGGTCGCGGTCTGCGGAACTGCCAGGACCGCCGCCAACCGCCGCGGCTGGCGGAGCGGGCGGAGCTGACGCCTGCGGGGAAGGTTATGAGAAGTCAGGGAGGCCCCTCTTTGTTGGCCGACGGCGTGGCAGGCTCGGTGGAGAAGGCGGGTGACGGCAGAAGTGGCGGGCGGAGATGGGTGGTGGAGGTGAGGAACGGGCGGCCACGCCTCGCAATCGGGAGGGCCAGCGGCATCTGGGGCCTATCCACACGCCCCCAGTCGTGTTGAGACCCATTTGACGGCGTCGGTCGGCTGCCCCGACGGCTAGTTCATCGGGGTGACGACTACATCTCGGGTCTTCCTCCAGCTATATCCCAGCGATCGCACCCCAGCGAGCGCTGCATCCATGTCGTGGGGCAGGTCGATTGCTAGCCGCCGACCCACCAGCCATGCTGCGCCTGGGCCTACGGTCACGGCGCCGACGCGTTGCGGACGTGCTCCTGCCTCCCCCCCCCCCCCGTCGCACTGCGTCGGGCTCTGCGCCTCCGCCGGCCTCCTCAGCGAGCGCCACAAGGGCCTGCTCACAACCGCGCGCGTGACTTCACTCACTCTCCCGCCGCCGCTCGTCCCACCGCCAGCGCCGCGAATTGCCTCCGCGACGCACAGCCAGCGGGGCGCGGCAATCTCAAGCGTGGGCGGCGGCGCCGGCGTGCTCTTCTCCTCCGCCGCACTCCACAGGACGCACCCCTCGCAACCCTCCGAGCCGAGCTGAGGCGCGGCGACCGCGGAAGAAGGCCCGAGCAGAGCCGCCGCGGCGTGCGGGGGCGGCGAGGGCACGGGCAGAGGAAGTGCGCCCGGCGGCAGACCACGCGTGGTGGCCGCGCGAGCCGCGAGCTGGGCTGCCGCTTTGGTGTCGCCCACCCGTCTGAGCAACGCGTCGAGTGCACACCACGCGAGCTGGTTGTGCGGGCTGGCGAGGACGGCGTGCTCAAGAGAGTGCCGCTCGAGGGCGGCGAGGCGCGCGGCGCCCGCCAACCGGCCGATCCGCAGCCAGAGCCGCCCGTCGCGCTCATCCAGCGCAACCGCACCCAGTGCGTGCTGCAGCGCCTGCTCCGGCTCGCCGCCCGACGCCTCGAGGTTGCTCAGGTTCATCAGCGCGAGGAAACGCAGCCGCAGCGACGGGTCGCCGGTCGCAGCGTGCAGCGCGTCCGCCTCAGCGATGAGCGGCTGGTCCAGTAGCTGGCGGTAGGCGGCCGTGGCGTCGGCGAGCCTGCCCGACGCCTCGTGCTGCAGCGCGAGTGAGTAGAGTGCGGCATTGGCACTCTCCTGCGCCTCGATGCCACGTCGGGCAACCTCCAGCGGGTGCGAGGCGCGCTCGGCAGACTCGATGTCGACGATCGAAATCATGGGATGTATCCACCTCGCTGCTTGCTTGAAGATCAGGCGTCCCTTCGCTGTTTATTCACAGCACTAGTGTGGGACCTGCGGCGGTACCCGTCTCTGTTGTTCGGGCAGTGAGAGACGCAGGATCTGCACGCCAAAGTGGGCCACTCATTTGCATTTTGGTTTTGGGTTGTCGGAGATCATCCATCAGCACTCATGTCTCATCAGTCAGTCACGTCAGTCAAAGCAGTTCGTGGCACTCATCAGTCAGTCACGTCAGTCAAAGCAGTTCGTGGCACTCATCAGTCAGTCACGTCAGTCAAAGCAGTTCGTGGCACTCATCAGTCAGTCACGTCAGTCAAAGCAGTCGTGGCACGTGGAGCAGTCGCTGCATGCAACGGCGCCGCCACACGCTCCGGACGACCCCGACAACCGACACACCACGCACAATGGGAGGCTATCGCGCACGATCGGGCATCGCGCCGCAAACAACTCGCCGCACAGATGGGGGGGGAGGCAGAATCCCACACACACCGGAGCAGCGCAGACACCTTACACGTCAGCGCTCGCTCGATGTGGCCGGCGCTCTCCCCTCTCCTATCGCCTTTTCAACGGCGGCGTGCGGCCACGCGCCGCGCCGAGCCGGTCTCGGCGGGAGACCTCGGAGCCGCACGCGATGCGGGCATGCGCGATGGCTCCGTTGGCTCCGTGCCTAAGGCAGATCGATTAGGGTGTGAGCTGCGGCAGCCACCGTTTCTGTACCCGCTCGATCACGTGCAGGCCGTCGGAGGCCGCGCTGGATGGCCCAGGGCCGGCGGCGGTGAAGGCGTCCGTCGATGAAGGGATGTCGTCGAGGGAGCCATCGTCCTCCGCGGTGCACCGGTCCAGTTGTCGGAGTTCGAGATCGCAGTCGACTTGGAGAGTGTGTTCGGCCCGTTGACGAACTCACGGAATGTGAGCGACTTGGTGCACGCTGGGTCGAGCATCATGACTCGCACCTCATCCTGGGCGAGGATCCTCGCCCAGGGACCAGCTGTTGGCGTCGCCGTTTTGATCGAGCTGCATCCACTGCATGGTTTCGTAGTCAAGCGTAAACGCCCAGGAGTTGGTGCCTGGGTGACTTGCTGATGAGAGCGCCTTCCAATGGCGTTGGAAGGTTGAGGAAGTACACAGCATTCTGCATCGAAAACGGAATCTCTCTTGCTTGCAGATGCAGTCTCAGTCTCTCCCACCCCTCATCGAAATCTCAAACTCCCAAAGCGAAAAGGAATCTTCGCCATTTGAGATCTCACGCGTATCGCGTTTCCCCTCTAGAAACTGAGACACTATGTCAAAACCCCACTGAGAAATTATAAATTTCTCTAGAGCTGGTGCCGCCACTAGATGAAATGCTCCACTGGGCCCCCGGAACACGCCTGCGCGGCGGCGAGCAGTGAAGAGGCGCGGAAAGCTGATTTTTTTACTTTTGGACGCATTTCGGGCTCCGTACTGGTTGACGCAGAGCCGCACGCGTCGACCGGCGCCGTTCGCGACCACGAGGGCGGATGCTGGCCATCCCGGGCTCTGTGCACATCGGCAGCGCGCGTTCTACGCGCTCCGCTATCCAGGTCTTGGCGCCCCACCTCGAGAGCGCCGTGTTTATCTCGTGCAATCTCGAGCCATGGAGATTAGGCCGAGATCGCTTTGAGCTGCGGGAGATGTTTGGGAGATACAGCTACAGTCACACGGACCCGCGGGGCGTGCGCAGCTCGCGACGGAGATGTTTGTAGAGCCCGGGCTCGCTGCGAAGCGGTGAGCGGCGCCCGAACGGCACCGGGCCGCGTGCCGCTCTCTGCAGCTCCGACGCGGCCGGGCGGCTGCCAGAGCCGCACGCGCCGACCGGCGCCGTTCGCGATCACGAGGGCGGATGCTGGCCATCCCGGGCTCTGTGCACATCAGCAGCGCGCGTTCTACGCGCTCCGCTGTCCAGATCTTGGCGCCCCACCTCGAAAGCGCCGTTTTTATCTCGTGCAATCTCGAGCCGTGGAGATTAGGGGAGATCGCTTTGAGCTGCGAGAGATGTTTGGGAGATACAGCTACAGTCACACGGACCCGCGGGGCGTGCGCAGCTCGCGACGGAGATGTTTACAGAGCCCGGGCTCGCTGCGAAGCGGTGAGCGGCGCCCGAACGGCAGGGTAGCGTGTCGACCTAGACTGAACGCGACCGAGCAGCAAGGTACTAGGAGTGGCAGCCCGTGACAGCACCGGCAATACGCTTGGGGAGCGGTAGAGCAACGGCCCTGGTAGTGGTGGGCGAAGCAGCGACGGCGATGGCGATGGCAGTGGCGGCCCTGGCGGCGACGGCCGTGTTGGCGGATGAGGCGGCGAGACGGCGACGGCGACCAGGGCGACCTGTGCAGGCCGTCACGAGTCGTCATAGAGGTCGAAGTACTTTTCATCGCCTTCCAAGCCCTCGTCGAGCACGACCGCGTCCGCGCGCGCTGCCGCCGCAGCCCCTGCTCGGCGGAAGGCGTCCTGCAGCGGATGCTCGTAGGGAAGCGCGTCCTCTCGCGCCGCTGCCCGGAGGAGCCAGCGCAGCCGCACGCGCTCCTCGTGCATGAAGGCCGTGTTTGCTGCGCCGGCGGCCTCTCGCTCCCTCCTGTTCCTGAGCGCTCCGAGCGGGCTGATGCCCGGGCTGGTCGAGAGGTACTCGGCAAAGGACTGCTTGCTCATCAGCTCGTCGTCCGCGCAGTAGGCGAAGAGGCGGCGGCGGAACCAATGCGCCCACGGCCCGCACTGGTAGCCGTCGCTCTGCAAGTTGAGCGTCACGCTGACTAGCTGCCAGCCCGTGTCCTTTGGCGCCGCGTCGAAGGCGTCCCGAACGCGCGCTAGAGGATGCGTGCGGCTGAAAATGCTGGTGCCGAACGGCTCCCAGTGCACGGCGAGCCGCTGAGGCCCGATGAGCGCGACGTTGTGCCAATGGGCGCCGTCGCAGACCTGCTGCAACATCACGCAGTCGCAGAGTTGCAGCACCCGCTGCCCTCCTCTTTGACGGAAGATGCTGCATGCCGAGGCTACGTCGCGGGGGTAGTTGTACCGCAGCGGCGAGCCGGCGCCACTCTCGCCGTCTGGACGCTCGTCTACGTAGTGTGCGTTGGCGAGGTTCGAGTCGCTGAACCACTGCCGGTGGTAAGATGAGATGTAGCCAGCCTCGCCGACGCGCAAGTGGGGCGGTCCCTGTAGCTCTGGCTCCACCAGCTCGACGTCCACCTCCACGTCGTCGGAGCCGGGTCTGCCGGCAAACAGCGCCTCGTCCTCGACCTCGTCCTCCCCTCCCGTCTCTACTTCTCCCTTCCCGCGGGCTTCCATGTCTGATATGATCGTGTCCCACGACACCCCCCCACCCTCGGCGTCCTCGGCTATCGCGCTGCGGCGCCAGCGAGGCGCCTCTGCCGAGCCAATCTGGCTCACATCAGAGACAGGGTTCCACAGCTGTTTCATCGACCATGTCTCCACCTTGGTGAAGAACGGGCACTCCACGTACACGTTCTCCTCCTCGGTATCCTCGTGCAGCCAGCGAATCTTTATCTTGATTCTCATGACCGCCTCGACGCGAGCGAGGTACACCTCTGGGTCTCCATCCTGCCGGACGGCCCAGAGGACCTCCACGACGTTCCCCACCTGCAGCGACCTCCGGATCGCCGCTGTGCTCACGCCCTTCTCCAACGGCCAGCCCGGCTGGCGACCCTCGCCCTCCGCCGAGCTCGCCGTCCCGCCGTCGGCCGCGTCGGTCGAGCCTCCGGCCTCGCCCGAGCCCTCCTCCCCCTCCTCCTCCGCCCCGCCCTCCTCCTCCTCCTCCTGCGGCTCGTCCACGAACGCCGAGAACTCCATGCTGTCGAGCCGGAGATCCTGCAGCTGCGCGGCGAGGCCCTCCTTCTCGGTGACTCGCTTGGACACGTTGTGTCCGAGAGCGGCCGACGCGGCGCTCCAATCGGCTGCCGTTGTCGGGTAAACGTGCCCGCGGTGCCGCGGTGCCGTGAGCCTTGTCGCGCACGTCTCCGACCGGCGCTGCGTCCCGTGCAAATCGCGAGAGAGCGTCTTGACGACCGTCTCCGAGAAGAAGTTGCTGATCGGCACAAAGACGCCGACGCTCCAGATGGAATCGTAGACGTCGCTACCGCCCGCCACGTCGCGCAGCTGCGTCGGCCGCTTACAGCTTGCCAGCAGCTTAAAGACGCCGAGGGCGTCGTCCTGAAACCAGAGGCCGACCCCCTCGGTGGCGTTGGTGATCGCAGCGCTGAGCTCGGTGGCATCGGCCGAGTCGGGGAGGTGCGGCAGCATGCTCTGGATTAAGCCTCCCCGGCCCTGCTTCGCGAGCGCCAGCAGCTCCTGCGCCGAGAGAACAGCATGCTCTCCCTCCTCGTCCATAGTTCCCAGCGCCACGAGCGCGGGGTTCGTCCGCCACGCTGCCGTGTGCTGTCGGAAGTAGGTAGAAGCAGCGCGTGCGGCCTTGCGCACGATGGCCCGCACATCCAGGCGCGAGAACGCCGCCGTGTTCTTGGCGACCATTGCTCGCAGCGGCGCAAAGTCGCCCTTCCATGGACGGCCGCCTTCGAGGTCGCGCGTCTCGTCGTTGTCGCTGGCGAGCGCGTCGAGGTAGGCGAGCCGCAGGCGAAGCACGCGGGGTGCCTTGAACGCCACGCCCGGCCCGTCGTTCTCGGTAAACTTGAGGAAGCGGTCGGCCGACCGCTCGCCGTAGATGGCCAGGAACGAGAGCCACACGCGTATCTCCGGGTCGAGGAGCTCAAGCAGCAGCTCGCGCCGCGCGGCGTCCTTGATCGAGCTCACCTTCTCGAGCAGCGTGGCGCCAGTCAGCGCCAGCTTCTCACCGAACTCGTCGGTCTGCTCGGCGTCGGCAAAGAGCCCCTCGTCGCCCTGCGCGCAGAGCCACTCGTGCAAGAGACAGCACACGATCAGCTCGAGGCGCCGCGTCGTGGGCGCCAGCCACATGCACGTGTACACCCAGTAGAGCCACCGGGTGTCCACGCCTCCCGGCATGTCGCCGAGACGCGCCAGCCCCTCCGAGACGCGGACATAGTTTTTGCAGCCCTTCGACTCCTTGACGGCGAGCACGACGTCGGCCAGCAGCTGCGTCAGAGGGAGCGTGGGGAAGCGTTGGAGGGGTGTGTGAGCGCCTCTTACGTCGGGCGTGGCGCGCCTCCGGGATGCGATGCCGTCCGCTTTTGGTGGAGCCCGAGTGCGCGAGCAGGTGCTCGCGGCGGCAGGCACCAGCCGCCTCGCAGACATTCTTCACCTCGTTGTTGATCACGTGGGACAAGCAGAGGATAAAGAAGCACAGCACGTGCTTTGCCGCACGCATCGAGGTCCAGATGTGCGCAAAGGCGCCGCCCTTGTGCCGCTCCGACGCAATGGTCAAGCTGGCATTGGAGGCGGTGCCGTCGGAGACGCAGAAGTCGATCCGATCGATCGGCAGGCCGAGCTCGTTGACCGCGCGCACGTTGCTCGCGCCGACGTTCACGCCCGTCTTCTTGTGGCCATCGGCGTCTGGCCGGAGCTTAAAGGTGGCGATCACCTCGCGCTCACGCAGCGCCGGCAGCCTCTCGCACGACAGCGTGACGACGACCCAGGCCACCTTGTTGATCGTCACCTCGTCCCACTGCAGCACGTTTCGCCGCTTCGAGAAGGAGTTCTCCACAGCTCTCTGGCGCTGCACGAACCAGAACTGCATGTCGTGCAAGCGGACCGTCTCGTGGCTCTCGTGCTGCGGCCGCTCCGCCTCCGGGAGCGACTTCAGGTACCGCTTCGAGCAGGCCGTGGCGACGCCCTGCGCGCCACGCAGCGAGAGGGTCTTACCCGCCGCCGAATGGTAGAGCACGTTCGTCTCCTCTCGCCATTCTGGGAGGTAGACTCCCCCCGCTCGGCTCGCGGGCAGCGCCAGGGTCGACGCCGCCGCGCCGGGTCTGCCGGGAGGCCGCCACGAGAGCATGGCCACGTGAGTGCGCCGCATAAGCTCGAGGATCGTCTCGCCGGGCAGGACTTCGAGCGTGCGAAAGCGTCCGGCGCCGCGCAGCAACGAGCAGTATTGTCGCTTAAAGCGCTCGAGCTGGACCCGCAGCTCGCGCTGGAGGCTGGGGCTGCGCTGCAGCACCGCGTGGAGGGCGTGCAGCTCGTACAGCCCGCGGAGGCGCGGGATCTCGTCGGGGTGCCGCGCCTGCTCGGCAAGCGCGCGAAAGCACATTCCTAGCCGGCGAGGCTTGAGTGCGACGGCGTTCTCGTCCATGGTCTCCAAGGCAAACTCGGCCATGGACAGCTGCCAGACGGCATCTGTGCCCCACGCAGCCTGCGGGTTGGAGAGCAGGCGCAGCATGTCGCGCTCCTTCTCCTGCCAGAGCTCGCGCAGATTGGCGAGCGCAGTCTCAATCTCCGCCCGCTGCGCTCGCAGCAGCTGCGACCTCGCCAACGCAGATTGCCTAGTCTGCACACCGGTCTCGAGGGCCTCGAGTGCGTCTGCGGCCGCAGCCTCCGCCAGCTGCACGCTGAGGCTACCCGTCGCGACGCCAGCGGCGCTAGTCAGCTGCGAGTCCTCAAGGCGAGGCCGCTGCGCCGTCCTGGCGCCTGTGGCGGTCGCGGGTGACCGACCTTTGCCGTAGCCGGGTTGGCGAACGCAAGCGGAGGCGGTCTGCCCAGCCTTGGAGGCGGCGGCTGCGGCGGGCTGCCGCGCCTTTTGGACGGTAGACGCGCGAGAGGCCTTTTGAACGGCTTCAGCTCGCTGACTGCGCGCCTGCTTTTGGCACACCACCCACTCGCCGCCGACAGCCTCGTATTGTGGTGCTTCCGATCGTGACGAGGGCTCAGACGGACCGCGCGAGCCGGCTGCACCAGAGACCTCCTTTGGAGGACGATGAGCGCCTTGCATGACGCCCTTGGCCTTGCGGCCGTGTGCAGGCTTCTTCTTCGGCGCCATTGCGACCTGCTTTGAAGGCGCCTCGAAGCTAGCTCCGGCAGCACGATGGGTGCGGGTTCATCGCGTGTCTTTTCCTGCGGCCCACTGTGAAGTTGGGATCTGAGCTCTCGTTTTAACACAGCCCGTAAGGTGCCCCGCCGGGGTGCCGGTTCGTTTTCCGCCCACGATCATGACCTCGGAGAACGCATTAGCCGCTACAGCGGAAGCTGTGATTTCGGCTTCCTCGGCAATTTCGATGTAGCGGCTAATGCGTTTCGCGACATAATAGCTAAAACTCGAGCCAGAGCTATGGGCGCCGAGTTCGCCACCCAATTTGTGTTAAAACGGAAGCAGGGCTCGTGGTTGGTTAACTGTAGACCACACGGACGCGCGGCCGGCGGCTGAGAAGGCCACGCAGCCCCTCTTCCTGGTCACTGACGGGAGCACTGGTCGGCGTGAAGACCCCAAGATGGCGCTGTTCGCGCCTCCCGTCCACCACTACCGATCAGGTGGCCGGCCTGGGTGCCCCCCCGGCGGGTGGGAAAGGGCGCAAAGCTCCGTTTCATTGCCTACCCCTGTAGTTTTGACATAGTGCTGAGATTTCGTGGCTGAAGTCTCGACGAAGATTTGGGAGATCTCAAGGGCGGGACTAGAGACTGAGATCTGCCCTGAAATCTTCAGGTCTCACTCCTCTCAATCTCTAAGAAAGACTAGAGATTACCATGACTGACAGAATACGCACAAGATATGGTGGTCACTTTTGGCGGTACTAGTGTTATCCGTGAGGCCAGGTGCGGCGATTCCGCCCGGGGGATTATCGTGGGCACGCCACCACGAACCTCGGGCAGACAGCGCGTGCGCGGCGGCGGAGGGCCGGCGAGCCGCCGGGTTGCCGAACGTCGTCGGCCGACCTCCGCCGCGGACGTCACTGGCCGCAATTCCGGGAGAAAGTGCGCGGGGGCCCGCTTAGTCCTCGTCCTCGTCGGCCTCGTTGTCGTGGATGTTGTAGTACCGGAGCTCGTACGAGTCCTTCTTGTTGGCAATGACGTGCAGCCAATCGCGCAGCTGCTGCTTCTTCAGGTACTTCTTGGAGAGGTACTTGAGATAGCGCTTGGAGAAGTCCGTCTCGGCAGAGACAATCACCTTCGCCTTCTCGCGGGAGACCGTCACAAGGTCGGCGAGGTTGCCAACCTTGCCATTCACCTTGATCTTGTCGAGCAGGAACTTCTCCTGGGCGGCACAGTGCGCGAGCCGGTTGGGGGCGCGCCGCGGGGCGAGCGTCTAGCGGGCGCGAGGGGATGTGCGGCGACGGGAGGGGACGATGAGGCCGGCGGGGGGAGGGGCGGACGACGAGAGCCCGCGACCGGCGCCCGCGAGGGGGGGGGGGGGGGGGCGCACAAAGGACGCGGCATCCATGATGCCGTCGTCGACCGGCTGCGAGCAGTCAATCGCAAACTTCTTGACCACCTTCTTCTTCTGGATCTTCTTGGCCTGCGGGCGGCGGAGGGGCGGGCGCGTGGGCATTCCGCCACGCGCGAGCAGCAGCGACGGATAGCGGGGGGCGGCGACGCACGGGAGCCATGTTGCGGGCGAAGGAGGAGAGAGGAGGGGCCTGGCGCAGCCCCGTGCTTGGCGAGAAGAATTCGCGCAGGCCGCGACGCCTAGCACCACACTCCTCTCCTTGAAATCCCTGTGTGGTGGCGGAAGAGCTCTACAGCTCTACAGCGCTCCAGAGCGCTCTACATCTCTACAGCTCTACAGCGCTCTACACTCTCTACATCCTCTACACCCTCCCTCAGGTGGGTGCTTGGCGAGAAGAATTGGACCTCGTGCAGCCAAGGGCGTTCTGCAGTTAAGGGGAAACCCGGTGCACGGAACGAACCCTCGGAGACCCATGTTTACTTTACGGCCCTTTCCCTGCGAACGCGCACCCCCGGGGCTAGGCCTAGGGCTCTCTAGCCCGTAACCCGCCTCGGCGAGAGTGAGAGAGAGAGAGAGATTTAGCAATACCAAACAACTCTTTTTGTTCTTCGGCTGCCTGCGCAAGAAAGTAAGATTCTTCTTTCACGTGTTACTGCCAGTGCGCGTCAGTCCCCCAAAGTTGTGCAAGCGCGAATTCAAAATTCTTAAATAAATAAATAAAAAAGAGTCGTAGAAAATCCAAAATCCAAATCGCAAACATAGAAACCCAATCACACACAACACACAGCCACGTGGCATAGGAGAGCAGGAGGTAATAAATAAAACGGACACGCGAAACGAGGGGTGGGAGAAGGACAGGGTCCCACCTGCACGAGCAGGATCTTGGAAGGACGATCAGGGACACAGCTCACAGGGGAACGAGAGCGGGGAGCGCATCGCGACACGGAGGGGGGCTGGGCAGGGTTTCACCCACACGCTAGAGTCAAGTTGGGAGTGCTTACTGTTGGGAGTGCTTACTCGTCGCCCTGAATGGTTGCCCAGGTTGTGAGGGACACGATCCCGGCGTGAACACGCCGATCTGACAAAATCCCGAGTGCCTACCGCACGCGCCGCGTCGCGGCGCGTGCGGTGGGCTTTGTTTGAAGTTAAAAGTCGAATCAGAGCGCCGTCGGTGCTGTCCCTCGTTTTCCTCCCACGGACCGCCCGTCCGGCACCGCTCCGGGACGCACGCCGGCGAAGCACCTCAAGCTGCTGTACGGCCCCGGCATCGCCTCCCCTGGCTTAGCTAGACTGAGAGATATTGTGCAAAAGGTTGGTCTCTACAATGTATATGCTGACACTTTACCTCCCAGAGCTCGTCCCGGTCCGCCACGGCCATCCTTGGCCTCCGGACGGCCCCCGGCCGCGGCGCGGTGCGGCGGCGTCACAAATCTGACCACAGAGCCCCGAGGCCCGATCAGGCGTATGCATTGCCCATCCAGGGCTATCACCTGGACCTATCAACAGGCGCCTGCGGCGCCGTGGCCCCGGGGGAGGGCACGTTCACACCTGTCCAACCATTCGTGCAGCACAGGTGCTTCCAACTCTGTCTGCGCGCTCGACGCAAAACAACGCCATGGAGGGCGCGTCCCTCCGCCTAGAGGAGGGACCTCCCGGCGACGAGGAGAGCAAGGCCTCGAAGAAGCAGCGCAAGGACGAGCAGCGGCGGCGCACTCGGGCCCGACAGGCATTTCTGCTCGTTTTCCTCGTCGCAATCCTCGTGGTGTCCAAGCTCGCTGCTCCAGCACCTGCCAGCAAGCAGGTGCCCGGCGACGCATCTCGGCACGGCGCGCTTCAGCACGGAGAAGGCCGAGGCGCGCCCGCGTGGCACTCCCAGCACCCCAGCAACTGGACCAGCTCGAGCGGCGGCCGTCCAAAGGTCACCGACGCGGCCAGCGCGTTTTCGAGGTGGGTGGATGCCGGAAGCTTCGCGGCCGCCTCGCACGGCGGCGGCGGCGGCGAGGGTGAGGGGAGCGCGGCGGCTCATGGGCCGGCGGAGGCGGCCCTCGATGCCAAATGCTATGGCGAGGACGGCGCTGAGTATGACGGCGCTGGGGTGGCGATGTGGGGTAAGGACAACATCCAGCCCGACAGCGCCGCTTGCTGCGCGTCCTGCCGCACTCACAGCGCGGCGCACCCCGGTCGCTCGGGTTGCGCCGTCTGGGTCTTTTGCGCCTCGGCCGCCGGATGCGGCGGCCCGAAGCGCGGCGAGTGCTGGGGCAAGACTCGCTCCCAGAGCCTACTGCCCGTCGTGCGCTCGCGCGGCCAAGGCTGGGTGTCTGGTGCGCTCCTCTCCGACGCCGAGGCGGCGGAGGTGGCGGCGGCGCGCGCGGCAGGAGAGGCGGAGCGCGCGGCGCGGCGGACACGGCCGACCAACCCGAGGGTCTTTCTGGACGTGTCCATCAACGGGGGCGCGGCGTCGAGGATGGAGTTTGTGCTGTACGCCACAGAGGCGCCGCGCGCGGCTGAGAACTTTCGCGCAATGTGCACGGGAGAGAAGGGGGGTAAGCTCACCTTTTCCGGCATGCGATTCTACCGCATCATAGACCAGTTTATCGACCAGGCGGGCGTCAACGGTGTCGGCTCCATCTGGGGATCGTCCTTTGATGACGACCCGGGTGGCCTCGCGCTGAGGCACGACACGCACGCACGCACGCACGCACGCACGCACGCACGCACGCACGCACGCACGCACGCACGCACGCACGCACGCACGCACGCACGCACGCACGCACGCACGCACGCACGCACGCACGCACGCACACCGCTCACCTATCCATCTGGACTTTGAGTCGCGAGGATTGCCCCCCTCCCTGTCCCACCACCTCGTGTGTGTGGAGAAGTTTTACCTCACCTTCCTTAGGCACGACCGCGCCGGGCTGCTCTCGGCGGCGAACTCGGGGCCCGACTCGAACTCGGGCCACTTTTCGGTGGTGGTCTCTCCCGCCCCGCACCTCGACGGCTCGTACACAATCTTTGGCGAGGTGGTCTCGGGCCACGACACCATGATGGCGATCAACAAGCTCTCCGCCAAGGAGAGCGCCACGGGCACCGCCGTCGTCGCTGCAGCCGGCTGCCTCGCGGCTTGCGAGCCCCGGCCGTCGGTAGGCCCGCGCTGCGCGCGGCGCACCGCCGAGGAGAGCGTCGTGCAGGGGCGGAAGATGCACAAGTGCGCCGAATGAGCGAGAGTGAGCGTGGGTGTGGAAAGAGTCCGACGGGTGTGCTGAGGGTTTGCATGGACGGGAAGAAAGAAAGAATTTGAAAAAGAAAACGGACATTGCAAGGGTTAGGGGGGTACTTTACGGCTCTACGTTAGGGCTGCGGCTGGCTGGGTTATACCTTTGAGACCGCCATCCCCAGCGTCCCTCCCTCCTCTAGTCATTGAATCTCAACTTCTCGACTCTCCAACACGAAGTGCTGCGATCGGGGTTGCCCGATTTATTTTTTCTTTCTTTTTTTGGGCCCTGACCCCTGTTGGGCACCCTACCTACCTTTTGCGCAGCAACACCTTAAACTTTTAGGCGGCCCTCCAAATTCGGGTCGGAGCGTAGCGGAGTTGGCCCCGAGTTTGAAAACGGGCGACGGACGCTTGCGTCCTAGGGAGGGGGGGGAAGTAACCTGAAACTGCAACGATGCATGCGTGCAGCACGAACGGCTGCGTGCGATTCAGCGGTCGCGCCGCTGAGCGTTCAGGTCGAGCTCGGCGAGCTGAGCAAGATCATCCAGCGGCGCGACAGCTGAATCGCAAGCGTTGAGGAACGCGAGACAGATCGCGTTCCGCGTTTCAGTTTCACGAAAGGTACCACCCTCCCTAGCCTCCAACAACGCCTCCCCGGCGCAGAGGGGCCCCCGGAGGGATGCTCAACCGCTCCACGCCACCCGCGATCCTATTCCCACAGCGCCGCTGCGAGTAGCCCACACGTTAGTGAGTCCTTCGGTAAGCGCGGGTTAGCGCGGGCTAAATTTTAGTGTGGCTTAACCCGGTGGAACCCACGCTCGCCCGCGCTGACTGACAACTCCGACGTTATTTTCAGGGTCACCATGGAGACGCCAGCTCAGAGTGCCCCCGCGACGGACGCCTCGCCGCCTCAGTCCGCCGATGCCGACGCGCACACGCTGCACGCCCCCGCGCCGGACAGCTCGCCCGCCGCCGCGCCCAGCGAGCCCTCCTGCATCGGCGTGCTCCGCTCTGCGGCCGAGGCGTGCGAGGATGCCGGTTCGGCGGTGCTGTCGGAGCCTTCGGCTGCAGCTGCGGCGCGCGAGCTCTGCGAGCGCGTGCTTGCCCTCCTGCCTGCCGACCAGAGGGGCACCTCTTCCTCCAACGGGATCAACGTGGACGTGGAGCTCGACAAGTGGGTCAACGCTAAGCGTGCGAAAGACTTTGTGACGGCCGACGCAATCCGTGAGAAGCTACGCGCCGCCGGGGTCGATCCGGACCGCGCCCGTCCGCGCGACGTGCGTGGCACCCGTGCCACCGAGTCTCCCTCAACAAAGGTGGCGTCACTCGCCTTTCGCCACATAGGTGTTCCCTCAGGGCGGCGGCGGCGGCGGCGGTGGCGGCGGGTACGGCGGCGGGTACGGCGGCGGCGGGTACGGCGGCGGCGGGTACGGCTACAGGCCGCCGCCGCCCTACGGGGGCCCCCCACCCGGCGGGTACGGCTACCCTGGAGGGTACGGAGGCCCTCCGATGGGGTACGGCGGCGGTTTCGCCCAGGGCCCGGCGGCGGGCGCCAAGCGGCCACGGCAAGAGTACGACGCCGCAACCGAGGCACAGCTGGACCGGTGGCTGGAGGCGAAGCGCGCGAAGGACTTTGCAACTTCGGACTCGATCCGAGACCAGCTGCGCGCGCGCGGCATCGATCCGGACCGCGCGAGGCCGCGATGAAGGGCCGCTGCCCCCCCCCCCCCCACCCCACACCCAAGGGTGACCAGGCGTCGCACCCTGGCGGCGCCGGCGCAGCACCAGCGCCGCGGCGGGTAGGAGCGCAGGGGCCAATGCAGGGCTAATGCACTTGCCGCCGGCGAAGCTTGCAAGCCGCACTTATCTTTTTAGAAATATAGAATTCAACATGTCCAGATAGTGTGGATACGGCTTTAGTGGACGACAGAAGACGTAAACTGTGAGGACCAATGTGGCTCTCAAATGTTATCATATTTTGTCACTGCGTCTGGGGTGCACGCGACGCCTGAAAACAGAAGAGAGCTAGAGAGCGGGGCCCGCGCGCCGCGTATACGTATCTCGCAGGCTCGACAGGGACAGCGACAGGATCCGCGATCTCCCCGCGAGAGCGTCGTGCAGGGCTTTACGACACTCTCTGACGAAGCAGCCGGACGAGCTCGGCGTAACCTGGCTCCGACTCGCTCACGAGGCGATGCCGAACGAGAAAGTCAATCGCGACGAGCGCAGAGTTTGGCTTCCACACCGGCAAATCCTCCCGCAGCGAGCGCAGGACCTCGGCGATGGGCAGGAGGCGGAACTGCTCCACCTCGCCGTCGGAGCATAAAGGCTGAAAGCGGGACGTGAGCGCAAGGTGAGCGACGCGCTAGTGTGGGCCAAGGGTGGGCCATCGCCGCATCTCCACGTCCTCCAGATGGGCAGGATCCCCACTCGAAGGGCAGAGGAGGTGAGGAAAGTCCAGGGGTTGTCTGGGGAGTGTCCATGACGTGTCGGTAAGTGGCGACCTGCAGCCCCTGCGGCATCTCGACGTCGTGGGTCATCAGCACCTTGCGTAGAGAGCAGGGAGTGAGAAGGAGCGACAAGGGTTCAGAAGGATTGACAAGGGAGGAGAAGGCGGAGAGAGGGACCAGATCGCACCTTGGTCGACAGTCCCTTGGGCGTCGCATACCGATACGACACTGACCCGGCCGGCTCGATGGCGGCGATCACCTCCGGCGGTAGACTCGCCTCCTCCTCGCACTCCTTGCGCACGTTCTCGTCGAACGTGAGGGCCGTGGGCTGGCCGCCGGCGACCATCTGGTCGAGCAGCCCGGGGTAGGTCGCCTTGGACATGGAGCGCGTCGCGACCCACATCGCAGAGGGCTCGCGCGAGGAAGGCCGCCTCGGGTCGCGCACCCACCCATTCACGTGCACACCGTAGGACGGCACTCCAAAATAGATCATCGAGGCGCGCTCCATGCGGAGCACCGGCGCCACGCCGCCGCCCGCGGCGACGAATCCGGCCGAGAAGGGGTGCACGTCCTGCAGCTCGTGCCGCAGCTTGGAGCGCGGGATGACGCCGTCCTCCACTAGCTCCTATGGGTCGCACGTGGCTGCCATCATGGAGCGCCGAAGCGACCCCCCGTCGTCTGCGGACTCTCCTCCACAAGCGCGGCCGCAAACTCCGACCGCTCCTTGGCGCCGCTCGCGCCGGGAGCGATCCGCACGGCGAACCCGTTCTCGCACTGGCCGGCGGCCGCCGCGGCCGCCTCGCTGCGCAGCATGCTCGCCTCGACGAGCTCGCACGCGCGGCCGACGGCGAGCTGCGTGGTGAGCGCCTGGGGAAGGCTGAGCTTTGTGATGCCTGGAAGGTGAAGCACGTTGACGGTGGGTGGGCGGGTGTGGGGGAGGGGTATGGGGAGGTGCACCTCGAGAACTGTCGGGTTGAGCCAGCCGACCTGCTCGTCGCCGACCAGCAGCGGCGTGAACTCGCGAAGCGCGTACGAGTTGCACCGCTGCACCGCCGCCAAGAGCTCCCCACGCCCCGCCTCCTCCTTGTACCTGCGGACGTGTCGCAGCGCCCGCGATTGGACGAGGCAGCGTCGCGGCGCGAGCGGAGCGGCCGCTGGAGGGTCAGGCCCGTCGATTGGGGGCGGGGCAGCGGGGCCCAACAGGGAAGGGGGGAGAGCTGGAGGTGTCTCGGAAGCGTCTCGGAAGCGTCTCGGAAGCGTCTGGGCAGTGCCCCTCACCGGATGACGCACTCGCCCTCTGACTCGCCGGCGCCGCAAAATGCGTCGACGTCGTCGGGCGCGCTGCGCCGCCGCTCGCGCTGGAAGCGAGAGAGGCACTCCTCCTCGTCCTCGTCGAGGAAGCAGTAGGGCGCCACGTCGGCCGGGTCCGCCGGCGAAGGCTGCATCGCGGCCCCCACCTCATCCAAGCTCATCTTCCTCCCCCTCCCGCCCGCCAAATCGCTGCGCGCAGCCTCGAGCTTCCCCATGGCCACACTCCGGAGGAATTCCGCAACTTCGCCGAACGTCTCGAGCTCGCTGCGCGCGTTGTCGAAGCGGCGCAGCGGTATGCCCGCGCTCTCGAAAACGCCCACGATCGCCTCGACTGACCGCTTGTGGTCCGAGAGGCGCCGGTTGAGCGCGTCGCTCGTGTCGTCGACGCGCCACACGAGCCGCTCGCAGATCTCGGCGGGCGCGGGCGCGTAGACTGGGTGGTACGTCTGCCCCGTCGCCGAATCGCAGCAGCGGCCGAGCGCAAATTCTCGCGCCAGCTCGTCTGGCCGCTCCACCAACACGACCGCATCCGGCCGCAGCTCGGCCCAGCTACCGCCGACCAACGCCTCCGCCTAGGAGGGCGGCAGGCGGAGGGCGAAGGTCGCATTGGGAGGCTCACCGCAGCGCCGCCGGCGCGACGCGGCAGGGGCGGGGGAGCGAGGCCCAGGAGCGAAGCAGGGGTGATGTGGGCCAGCAGCAGGGAGAGGCTCTCTCTCTCTCTCTCCTGAGACGTTGTTCTCGGGAAGCCGTCCAGGAGCCAGCCGTTGCGCGACGCGTCCGTGCCGCCGCCGAGCCGCTCCCCGAGGAGCTGCAGCACCAGCTCGTCGGGGAGGAGCACGCCAGCAGCCATGACATGCGATGCCTGCTCAATGGGGGCGAGGTGATCAGACGAATAGGAGGAGGGCTCGCGGTCCGCCGCGCACCTCCACGCCGCGGGCTCGCCGCGCCCGCGTCTCGCCGCGGAGCAGCTCGCCGACGCCGATGCAGCGCACCCGAAAGGCCTGCGAGAGCATCGGCGCGATGGTTCCTTTGCCGGCCGCTACGCCACCCATGAGTACAACCCGGAGGGGCGGCAGCGGTGGCAGCTTCGAGAGGGTGGTTCTTGCGTAATCGCGTGCAGCAGACCGCCGCACATACGGCTCCGCGTATGTAAAGGGAGCCCAGCTCACGAGGGAAGGGTCCGCCACGTAGCCCGCGCGGGTAGGAGTGCGCGGAGGCGGCAGCCTCATCGGCCGTTGCTCCAACTCGGCCACGTCGCAATCGTCGGCGGATGCATCGCACAGCAACTCGGCAACCTCGCGATCGCTGACCGATGCATAAACGTCGCACACAGGGCGCAGTCGTCTGAGCCGGCTCGATCTCGTAATCGCAGGGACGAGGCCAAAGGACAGGACGCTTGATGACAGGAGGATGTGGATCATCAGACCCCGGGGGAGCGAAGCAGCCGATCGTGGACTCTGTCGGCGCGCCGATGAAGAATTTTTGCACTCACACCGGGGCTAGGGCTTTCTTGCCCGTAACCCGATGCCAATCATCTGACTGATATGTGTACTTTTGAGCACTTGAGCACTGGATAGGGTCGGTTCCGCATGGTACGGGACCCCTCGATCGTCTCGCCCACCCTCACTGGTGTGTTCATCGGGGGGGGTCATAACAAACACGGTACAGGATCGAGGTGCACGCTGCCGAAGCAGTGTCGTCCCCCCTCTCCCCGACGGCGATGGCGGTGTGACCGATCGAGCTACAAGAGGAGCTTGTTCAGCATGATCCGGGGGGGTCGAGCAGTCCCTCACTTCCACAATGGGTGAGCCTCAGACCTCAAGGCCTATCGCCCCGTCACCTTCGGCTTGCGTGGATTCGAACCACCGCCGGGATGGAAGCTTCCTGCTTCCATCTTAGAGACAGCGCAACGCGTCACCTGTTTCAGTACGCCAGATTCGGTGAGCGCCATGTGCTTTGTTGCAGGGGGGAGGGGGGGGGGAGGGGGGCGAGCGAGAGTTTTTAGCCGGACGGCGAAGTATTCATAGCAACTCGTGGACGTACACTGTAGTCAGACTGCTGTGAGAGCCCCTGTGTGAAGACGCTCCCGCGATAAAGAATTTTATTCTGCGCGGAGCTGGGAAGAGGACCGCCGCAAGCGGCGTGGCGTGGAGCGGTTGAGCATCCCTCCGGGGGCCCCTCTGCGCCGGGGAGGCGTTGTTGGAGGCTAGGACGCAAGCGTCCGTCGCCCTTTTTCAAACTCGGGGCCCACTCACTCCGCTACGCTCGGACGATTTCAGGTGATGCGCCGCAACATGGGTCGGACACTGGGACACAGAGCGCAGCTTATGCTAAGAGGTAGAAGGGGAGATAGAGAGAAAAACCACCCTGTCCCGTTATTGCGTACCATTTGGCTCAGTTGGAGGCACCGTCCAATCGTTCGCCGATATCCGGAACTGAGGTGTCGCTAAATAACTTTCCCCAGAGAAGGTACTCGAGTACACCAACACCACAAAAGCTCTCTCTCTCCTGTCCTCACTCAGAGGGGTCACAACTACCGAGTTCCTAGAGTCTAGCTGCCACGTTCAAACCAGGACGGTGGCAGTGATGGTGCTATCACGGGCATGATCCGTGGAAAGTGGTGGAGCGGGTGGTACGGGATAGTAGAGCAGACGCTTTGTGGGTGGCGGGTATGGGCGGCGGCGTTGGGTGGCCGGCCGAATCATTAGCGGAGCTCCTCCCTCAAGCTCGATCACGCATGACGCACGTTGAGTGACAACGGCGGCGAGCTGCTCAATCAGGCCAGGTGAGCACCTCCAACTCCTCCTCTGAGTCAGACACGACAACGTCGACTGCGCCCTCCTCCTCCTCCTCCTCCAATTCGCCGACTGCGCCCTCCTCCTCCATGGGCTTGATCCGATTCCGCAGCGTGTCGTCCCCAGCGGCGGCGTCTGCGCTGGAGGCGGCCGCGGGCACGCTGGGCTCGATCAACGGCTTCTCCTCAAAGCGCCGAATTCTTGCTTTCAAATTTACGGAGAGATCGCCGCATTTGTGCATGATATTCGGATTTTGCTATTTGTTCGTGTGGGGGTATTGCTGATTTGTCAATGGTACCGCGCGTCTGCGACGCGGGCGCCTTGCGGGCAGAGCCCTTAGGCTTAGCCACCCTTATGTCTTGCGCGGTCAAAACTTCTCCCTCGGCCAACGCTGGGCACGGGACTGGCGCGCACTGGCACTAACACAGGTACACCACGGGAGCCGCCTAAGCGACTCCTGTGCGAGGAAGAACTAAGCAAGCGCGCACAACACGGGGCACGGGACCACTGGCGCGCATTGGCACTAACACGATAAAGAAATAGCAGACGTAAGTGCTCCAGCGTGACGTCATCTCATGCCCCCCCCCCCCACCCCACCCCACCCCACCCCCGATGTCTTGCGTCCACGCCCCCGTTACTACCTGGTGTCCAGCCTCCGGCTGGCTGTCTGTTCTTCACACATCGAACTAAGGGGACGTGTGTCCTCCTCCCAGCCCTAGGTAGCTTGGCATGCGTCTTCTTCCTTCTAGGAACGACGCGCGGAGGAGGAAGGCCGCGACGCGCGAGCCGCGAGGTGGCGTTTCGGCCTAGTCCAGACGAGCGTTCATGGCAGATTGGCAGTTGCTCACTTCTCTCGCACGACACCATGCCTGAGCTGCGTGTAGTGTGATATGTGTGTTGTTTCCGTTTCTTGTTTCCTGTGCACATCTAAAGCCGTACACCCTCGTTTCCTAAATGCTAAAGCACCCGGGGCCGGGCGGCGTTGATTCGTTTCCCGTTCTCGCCGTTCACGGCAAACGGGTGTAAAAGTAAAACGTACCACGCGTACCAGACAGCACAAGAGCACGAGCATGCAGCAAATTTGCACTCCTGCATGCGCATGTTTGTAATTGTATGAGAGAAGACTACTGTACAGTCAACCGCGGCGGCATGTCAGGAGTCAGCGTCACGTCTCAATGCACGCTGCATATGGTATCGCACAAACAACGCGTGAGTTCGGGCAGCTCCCTTCACCTTTCAGCTGGACAGGCGACGCGAGATGAAGACGATGGCGAGGAGGCGGAAGACGAGCACAAAGGCGAGGAGAACCCCGACGTTGGCCCAATAGTTGGCGACTGCATCATACGACTCCCCTCCCACGATGTTGGGCAACCGCAGCCGGTTCTCCAAGACCTTCTCTCCCGTGGCGTACGGCGTCGAGGCAGCATCGCCTGTGAAGACTTTGCCGCGGAAGGCAGCGTTTGCCATCGCCTGCCACGAGTAGTTGAGGTAGTCGACATAGGTGGCCCAGCGGAAGACCCACGTCATGTCCTGCGGGGCGGTGGGAGGGCGGGACCGGCGCCTCAACAAGGTGGTAGGGAGGTGGTGGCGCGCAGGTGTGTGCGGGCGTTCTCAGCCAGCTCGTTCGCCTGCTGGTTCTTGAAGAAGCCGGAGAGCACGGCCATTGGCATGATTGAGCCGGGAGCGAGGAGGACGGCGGTGTTGCTGTCGGGAGAGACGCTGCATATCATGAGGGCCCATGCGTGCGTGGCAAAGACCACCAGCAAGATGGCGAGATAGACTTGGAGGAAGCGGCTGCCGCCGTCGCCCAACGCGAAACCCGACATGGTGCCGGCGATGGCGAGGTAGAGGAGGGGCGGGAGGACGAGCAACGGCGTCTCGACCACCAGCTTGGCGGGCACGAATGTCGCGGGGTTATACCAGTTGTTGCGCACCTCCTTGCGGACCACCGCGAGCTCCGGCAGCACCTACGAAGCTTGGCATGGGTGTATCGCGGACGCCGCACCTCCCTTGTTTTGGAGCACCGCCGCGGGCCGCGCCGAGAGGACGACGGGCAGCGCGTTGATGATGGCGAGGAAGAGCATCGAGAAGAGGAGGATCGAGATGGTGTCGTTGACGCCGGTCAGGTCGTCCGACGTGTCAAAGTAGAGCACGCCCATCACCAGCCCGATGACGGTCGCCGACACGAACCGCAGCTTTGCGAGGAGCGGCTCGCGCCGAATAGCCCGCGCGTTGCGCAGGATGAGCGCGCGCATCTGGGTCCGAAACGTGGCCGCGTACGCGGGCCCGTCGAGTGTGAGGGCCTCGAGCGCCGCTCCGGTTGGCTCGCGGGCAGTAGGCTGCCGCAGGTAATGGGCGCGAACCGCCTCGGGGCTCCCCGCGAGCACCTCAAAGAAGAAGTCGGCCGGGTTGTCGAGCGGCGGGCACGCGAAGCCGGCGGCGGCGAACCAGCGGGCCGGCTGCTGCTCGGCGTGCGAGATCGGCCCCTGGTAGCAGACGGCGCCGCGGTGCAGCAGGAGCAGCCGATCAAACATGTAGAAGGCTGCGGCGGACGGCTGGTGGATGGTGGCCACCACCGCCATCGACTGGGACAGGGAGCGGAGGAGGCGGACGAGGGCCATCGTGGAGACCTGTGAGAGGACGGCGTAAGGAGGCGAGGGCGGATGGGGGTGAGACGTAAAAAAAAAGGTGTGGCGACCTCGGCCGGCAAGTGAGACGTCCCTCGCCGGTCTCCGGAGGCGTCTCTCGAGTGTGTGTGGGTGCCGACCGAGTCTCTCGCAGTGCGTGCCTCTCGAGTGTGTGCCGACCGAAGTCTCTCCCAGTGGGAAGGGTCTCGAGCGGAGACCGAGTCGAGTCCGGAGGTGGGCTCATCGAGCAGCAGCAGCGATGGCCGGCCGGCGAGCTCCAGCGCGACGGACAGCCGCCGCTTCTGCCCGCCGCTGATACCCTTCTTCCCTTCTGGGTGGCCGACGAGGACATCGCGGCACTCGGCAAGGCCAAACTGAGCCAGGAGCTCCTCGCACCGCGCTCTCCGATCGGCCGCCGTCGCGGAGCGGCCCATCTTGAAGAGGCACGCCTCCGCCAGCGACTCGTGCACCGTCAGCGAAGGCGTGAGCAGGTCGTCCTGCGGCACAAAGGTCGCGAAGCGCCGCATGGTGCGGCGGTCATACGGGGAACCGTTCACGCTGATTGTGCCGCTGGTCGGCGTCGTCACGCCCGTGAGCGAGTTGAGGAGCGTGGTCTTCCCAGAGCCGCTCGGCCCCATGACGGCCTTGGCCTTGCTCCACCCCCCCCGCATAGCCGAAATTCAAGGTCCGCGGTCTCTTTTGGCCGCGGCGTTAGAGAGATCCTTTGCTTGTTATGCTTTCTGCTTTCTCTCTCCGATCGCTGGGCGCGGTCACTCACCGGCCCATCACCCGCCTGCCGATCACCTGTCCGCCTCGCCGCGCGCGGGCCGCTCGCCTGCTCGCCACTGCCGCCGCGCGTCCCCGCGCCGCCACGCTTCCCTGTGCACCTGACCGCGCTCGAGCTGCGCAGACGGCGCGCGCTCTGGCAGACAGAGCAGCGGCCGCCCAGGCGGTCGCTGCTCCGCCCCGTCCGAATCCGTCCGCCCGCGCGTGCCGCTGCCGCCGCCGCCGCCACCACCGCCGCCGCGTTTCCCCGCGCCGCCACGCTTCCCTAAAAACAGGCCGTGCCAGGCCGTGCCAGCCCACGAGGCTGCCCGCCCGTCCCGGGGGACACACCAAACAAGGGGTGGGAGAAGGACAGGGTCCCCACCTGCACGAGCAGGCAATCTTAGGCTTCGCACCCCCTCCTTGCGCAGTGTCCCCCACTATGTGTCGCCGTTTACATGGAGTGCGAGGTATCTCGACTGTTGCCATCCCTCAAACTGTCACTCCCCTTGCTCCCGGCCGGGGTGGGGCGCGCGCGGGGGCGGCGGGTGGGCAGAATGTCTGGAAAAGACCGGTTTTCACAGCCTTGTTGGGGAGATGGGGTCCCACGGCCCGCCGCAGGCGCCGATTTTTTCGGATTTTTTTTCGCGCGATTTTTTACTTGCTTGTTTTCATGGGAATTCGGCGTACTTGCGGCCATGCTACCACGCCTTGCGACAGCCTGTCGGCGCTGCTGACCGTGCCCTGCTGCACAATTGACCACCTGCATAGCTCGCGGCCTTAGTATCAAGCATTCAGTGACGACCTGATCGTACGGTCAGTAGGAAGGTGTCCTTCCAACGTGTGCACGCTTCTGGCGCAATGCGCGTCGCCTCGGATTTACGCAGCCATTAGATTTGTCGCTGTAATTTCTCCTTTTCCATAAACGGTCCATTTCTTCTGGTGTCTTAATTCTTCTTCGGTGTACCTGTGTTAGTGCCAGTGCGAGCCAGTCCCGTGCCCAGTCCTGTGCCCAGTGTTGTGCGAGGGAGTTTTGTTGTAAAATTCTTCTTCTGTGACGTCCTTTACTGACGTTCGCGAAGAAGTCTTGCCGACGCGTCCTCAGCTCTTACATGCCAAGCGCTGCTCGCCAGCAGGAACGCTGCGCTGCTCACACGCTCCGGTTCAGCCGTCATGCGTCTCGCAATGACGGTGAAGCTTCCATCATTATCTCCAGAACGTATCTCCTCCAGTCCGTCACGAAAGCTCATCGCACAATCATTGTGCGTAGCGATGCTCCAGTGAGCATACCTTTCCTGAAGGTATCTCCAGCTGGACACGTGCATGCCTCCAAGACGATAGCTGACTGTGAACCTAAAGCTCTCGCCCTCAACGTTATCCTCTGCCTCTCGCAGGATGGTGCCAAGGTTGAAGCATCTGCGTGTCTCGCCTTCCCGCCAAAAGGTGGCAAAACCTCGCCGCGCCCTCGTCTCCCCTTGTCCCTCACGATCACCGCCCCGCAGCCGTAGGTGCATCTGGAGCGGATCTCTCCACGGTGGGATGCCTGGTCTCTTCCGGGTCCTCTCCGCCCGGTTCATCTTTTTCATCTCTTCTCTGTATGTGGGCTGGCTCCTCCATAGCCTAGTTCCTCGCTCCTCCATGTTGAGCTTTGGTCGCAGTGTGCGGATGAGTTTCCTCTCCACTCGCTGCGCCTCCCGTTTGCTCGCGCACACAACGAGCGGCACGCCATGTATCGCCCATGTCCACCGCACCCAGCCTTCCTGCAGGTGTGGTATTCGCGCGAGTGCTTCACGGTCCCGCAGGTGTTTTTTGGACTGTTTTGCTCAACATGGAGCAAGTGGCTAAAGCCACCTGCATTTTGTGCAAAAAGCTGCAAAGGACTCGTGGAGGCACGTGGCGCTTTCCGCGTGTCTCGTGCAAAATCCGGCATTTTGTGGCTTTCAGGTGCGAGGTGGCACGACGCGAGTCAGGTGGTGTGGAGCCTCCTACCGGAGGCCATCTATGAGACAGACAGGGATGGATTTCACGGGAAGGAAGGTGTGTTGCTAGCCGTCGCCCACCCTTGGGCGTCTGCCTCTTCCTAACTAGTCTCTCCTCGCAGTCCCTCGCCGATTCTCGCAGCAACCTTCATGCCACCTCGCGGTCGTCCCACTCTCGTGACGTCGTTCTCTCTCCTGTCGCTTCAACCTTCATCCTCTTACCTCTATCGCGTCGCTCTCCTCTGCCTCGTTCTGCGACGACGCCGCCGCGGTGGTCCTATTCCCATATAAATAAAAGAGTAGACATCTCCCGGAGAGATGGGCGACGCACGAACCCGAGGCACAGCGCGCACCCGTGCCTTCGTTTCTTTTCGTGTTAGTGCCAGTGTCGTGCTTGTAAACTTCTTTTCGCTTGAGGAAGCCGTCGCCCGCGCCTCGCCTGTCGCGTGAATCGTGCACCGCACTTGGAGCACTTGGAGTGCAGTCATCAACCGCACATCCAGGGCCGGGGAGCTAAGAAGCGCACCCAGCAGGCCGGATGATTGATTGGCATCGGGTTACGCTTACGGGCTAGAGAGCCCTAGCCCCGGGGGTGCGCGTTCGCAGGGAAAGGGCCTTAAAGTAAACACAGTTCTCCGAGGGTTGGACCCGCGTACCGGGTTTCCCCTTAACTGCAGGACGCCCCCTCTACTCGGAGCTAGTGGACACCACGCCCAAACTCGCGCTTGCAAATTCTTTAAGTGCCTCGCCACCCTCGCGGGAGTCGCTTAGGCGGCTCCCGTGGTGTACCTGTGTTAGTGCCAGTGCGCGCCAGTCCCGTGCCCAAAAAGAAAGAAAGAAAACAGACAACCCAAGGGAGGGATGGGAGGCAGTGTTGTGCGAGCGCCCTAGGCAAAATTCTTTTCGCTTCCCTCGCTTGAAGCCCCGCCGTTCCAACGGTGCTGCACACACAACACACACCTCAGTGTGGGGCACACACACCTCATCCTCTCCTCTCTGTCCAGTCTGCCCCGTCCCACGCCCCCTCGGCACCACGCCCCTCCTCCCCCCCCCCGCCCCTCCGCGCGGCGCGCCGCTCCTCGCGCGCATGCCCGCCCCGCTCACCGTGCAGCGCAGCGCGCGGCCGCCGCCGCGAGTCTCCACCCCGCCGTGTGCTGCCCCAAAGGTATCCACAAGCAGCATGCGCGAGATCGTTTCCATCCAGGGTGGCCAGTGCGGCAACCAGATCGGTGCGCGCGCATTCTCGGCCCGCCACCCTGCGTGGCGCCCTCTGCGCGCGCGCGACCCCGCGCTGCCTCCGCGCCGCCGCCCACAACACCGGCTCTCTCGCACCGCCGCGCGCGCCTCGACCTCCTTCGCACGCCCGATCCGGCCTCACCCGCCATGGGCGCCCTCCGCTCTCGCCCCGACACGCACTGCCGACTGATGCGCGCGCGCGCGTGCTGGCAGGCGCCAAGTTCTGGGAGGTTGTCTCGGACGAGCACGGCATCGACCCGACCGGCACCTACCACGGCGACTCGGACCTCCAGCTCGAGCGCATCAACGTCTACTACAACGAGGCGACGGGCGGCCGGTACGTCCCGCGCGCCGTGCTCATGGACCTCGAGCCGGGCACCATGGACTCGGTGCGGTCGGGCCCCTTTGGCCAGATCTTCCGGCCGGACAACTTCGTCTTTGGCCAGTCGGGCGCCGGCAACAACTGGGCCAAGGGTCACTACACCGAGGGCGCCGAGCTGATTGACGCCGTGCTCGACGTCGTCCGCAAGGAGGCCGAGGGCTGCGACTGCCTGCAGGGCTTCACGCTGTCGCACTCGCTGGGTGGCGGCACCGGCTCGGGCATGGGCACCCTCCTCATCTCCAAGATCCGCGAGGAGTACCCCGACCGCGTCATGTGCTCCTACTCGGTCTTCCCGTCGCCCAAGGTGTCCGACACGGTCGTCGAGCCGTACAACTGCGTCCTCTCCATCCACCAGCTGGTCGAGAACTCGGACGAGTCGCTGCTGATTGACAACGAGGCGCTGTACGACATCTGCTTCCGCACGCTCAAGCTCACCACGCCCACCTTTGGCGACCTCAACCACCTTGTCGCCGCCGTCATGTCGGCGTCGACTTGCTGCCTCCGCTTCCCCGGCCAGCTCAACTGCGACCTGCGCAAGCTGGCCGTCAACATGATCCCCTTCCCGCGGCTGCACTTCTTCATGGTCGGCTTCGCGCCGCTCACCTCGCGTGGCTCGCAGCAGTACCGCTCGCTCACCGTGCCCGAGCTGACGCAGCAGATGTTCGACGCCAAGAACATGATGGCGGCCGCCGACCCGCGCCACGGCCGCTACCTCACGTGTACCGCGCTCTTCCGCGGCCGCATGTCGACCAAGGAGGTGGACGAGCAGATGCTGAACGTGCAGAACAAGAACTCGTCCTACTTTGTGGAGTGGATCCCCAACAACATGAAGTGCGCCATCTGCGACATCCCGCCCAAGGGCCTCAAGATGTCGGTCGGCTTCATGGGCAACTCGACCTGCATGCAGGAGGTGATGAAGCGCGTCGCCGAGCAGTTCACCGCCATGTTCCGCCGCAAGGCCTTCCTCCACTGGTACACCGGCGAGGGCATGGACGAGATGGAGTTCACCGAGGCCGAGTCCAACATGAACGACCTCGTCTCCGAGTACCAGCAGTATCAGGACGCCTCGGCCGAGGAGGAGGGCGAGTACGACGAGGAGGGCGGCGAGGAGTACTAGGCGCGCGCCGGCGCTGCGCTGCCGCGTGGCCCGCACTAGCCGCCGGGCCGGCGCGGTGGAAGCGCCGCCGCTCGCCGCGCACGGAGCCGCATGCTAGCGAGGCATAGGAGCTTGCGCGGCATGCTTTGCGCAGGGACGGACCTCGCACACGCAGATTTCGTGCGTCGTGCCTGTGTGGACAGCTATTTTGAGTTTGGGATGCGTTGGGTTGCGGTCTAGTCGGGGGTTGCGGTCTTGTAGGTCTGCCCCGTTATACGTTCGGCCGTTGTGTCATATACAGGCGTGGCGGCTGGCGCGTGGGCCGTGGGGCGACTCGCAGCCGGGGCAGCCCCAGCGAAAGTCTAGCAGTGAACTCGCTAAAGCCGTAGCGCGTAGCGCGGGGTCATGCGGCAACATGCGCTCTCTAGCGCTCACACCCGACACCCCCGCTAGGGCGCTCAACGAAGTCAAACTCCACTGACGGCGCACTCTCGCACGGGGGCACCCCGCCCCGGGGCAGGCGGCACCCCACGTCACCCCGCTCCCCGGCGGCGGCGGCGCGCGAGACGCGCGACACGCGAGTCGCGGCGCGGCGCGCGGGGGGGTGAACCGGGTAACACGGAGAACGCGAGAGTCACACGACTCACGAGCCGCGCATATAACACACGTAGTAGATCGGTACTGTCGCGGACTGGGCTGTGCCTGTGCGCTGTGGGTGTGGGCTGTGGGCTGTGGGGCGCGTGCACGTGGGCTACTCGTGAGGCCGAGCTAGCCAGACGGGAGCGCAGTCCCGGAATGCGCGCCGCGCGGAGACGGCGCGCGCGTCTCACTCCTTGTCCGCCCGGCGCTGCTGCCGGCGCTGCCACCACCCGCACGCCTGGGCGCCCGCGATGCCCAGCAGCGACCCGTGCAGCATGTCCTTCCAGACGCAGACGGCGAGCACGGTCGCCGCGGCCAGCCCCGCCCTCGCGCCGTTGGCGCGGGTCGCCTCGACGAGGTTGTCGTACAGGAAATCGCACCCGACGTACACGCAGATGCCGGCGATGGCGAGGGTCGGCAGGTAGCCGACGAGGCCGCAGAGCGGGTAGGCGCAGAGGAAGAGCGCGCTCACCGCCGCCGCAAAGTAGCAAGAGAAGCGGTCGAGGCCACCGATCTTGCGGTGGATGGCGGAGTCGGACAGGCCGAGGTAGCTCGAGTAGCCACCCGCGGCGGCGGCGGCGGCGGTGCCGAGGGCGTGGGAGCGGAGCTCCTGTGGGGCAGGTGTTGGACATGCGTGACACCCATGCGGAGGGCCGGGTCGAGTCGACTGGGGGGGCCGGAGCCGTCTTGAGGTCGAGCTTCTGCCGGATGAGCGGCCCGTACAGCACATAGTTGAGCACGGTGTTCACGAGCGGCCTACGCGGCAGCCGCGCGGCGCCTGCGGCGGCCGCTTCACTCCAGCGGCGCGGCATGCCCGAGGCGCCCGAAGAGGGCGGCGCACACGAGCTGCTTGAGGGCCGCCGCGGAGAAGAGGACGTCCCATCTGCCGGGCGCGTCGGGGAGAGGTGTCACGGACGTGCCACGGGGCCGGCCGCCGGGATCAGCACCTCGCACCGGACGAGCGAGGGCGAGAGGGAGCGCCACAGGGCGGAGGCGGGCTCGCCGACAACCTCGGCCATCAGCCAGCCCGCCGCGCGCGCGTCCGGCACCGGACAGCCTGTGGCCAGCCGCAAGCCGTGCACCTGGAGCGTGAAGTCACCAGCGAGTGCATCCGCGGCGCGCGCCTCGCGTCGAGATACGGGCTCCACATGCGGTGGCTCGAGTGCGAACGCGGAGCGACACAGTCGAATGCAACACAGGGATCCTCGCTCTAGGGCCGCGCACGAGCGCGCTGACGGCGAGGATGAAGATTGGGATGAGGAGCGGGCCGCCTAAAGAGGTGCGGTTGATGGGTGCGGCGGGATGGGTTTCGCCACCGCTCGCTCGGCCCTCACCGACGCCCTTGCGCGAGGCCCTCCAGAGGCCGAGGCCGAAGAGGTTGGCGGGCACCCACAGCCGCGCGCTCTGCAACGTCAGCAGCGCGCCCGCGCCCGCGCCCAGCCCGAGCACGTCAAAGGAGAGCAGGTAGAGTGACCAGCCGATGGCGGCGAAGAGGCCCGCCTGCAGCGGCGGCGGCAGCAGGCGGTCGATGTTGTCGACCGGCGCCTCCGAGGCCAGGGCGAGGAGCGCGGCGGCGAGCAGGTTGGCGACGATGCTGCCCGCGAGCACCGTCGCGAGCAGCACACCCGGCCCGGCGCCGGCGCCGACGGCGCCCGCCGCGATGACGGCGAAGCGCGCGAGGAAGGGGAGGACCTCGAAGGAGGGCACCGCGAGCGCGACTCCGCCGCGCACGCTGGTCGTCCTGGCGACGACCGCCTGCGTGACGACAAAGCCGACCAGTCCGTGCTGGATGCCGATCGCCAGCGGCAGCCCAACCGGAGCAAAGATGATCGAAGCGCACGCGGCGGCAAAGGTGAACTGCATCACGCCCGTGTACGTGCCCGCGACGACCGAGCCCATCCTCGTCGGAGCCGGTTCCGCCGTCGCCTGGGCCACCGGCGCTGCGCGCGCCCGGCTGAGCCTCGCCCTGCTGCTGAGCCAAGGCGTGAACGCCCGCGGCGCGGCGACTCTCGGCGACGATATCGTGGAGATCTGCAGGGCGTGCGCAGAGGAGGAGAGGAAGAGGAGGGGGAGGAGGAGGCGCATCGTGCACGACGCCGACGATTTGGGTGAGCGTTTACAAAAAGACTTAACAGTGACGTCTCGAGGTGGTGGAGGGAACCACCGCCTCGTCGGCGCCATGCTCGGCCCGACCGAGCGGCTGGTGCAGCTCGTGCGCGATGAGTACCAGTCGAGCGCTCCCTCTCCGTCCATCTCTTGAGTCGCCGTCCCGCGCAAACGGCTCACGGGCCCCAGACTCCGCTAGATGTCGCGGGGCTCACGATCGTTCTCGTCACGTTGTGACTTGTGTCGTCGCCCGGCTCTCTCTCAAACCGACACACACGCGTATAATTATGTATATAAGTAGAGGAACCAGTGGAGAGGACAGGGAGGGACGTGTCCGAGGGAGTGGGTGCAGGTGAATTTGCATCGCATCGACCATCGCGGACTATACTCTACGCAGCTCGGCCATCGTCCGCCGGCTCACCTCGGCGCTCGCCCTCTCGCTCGCCGCCCGCTGCGCCGCCTCGCTCTGCCCGTGCGACGCGCTCTCCCGCGCCGCCTCGCGGCCCGCCGCCCGGCAGGCGGCTCCTGCCGCGTCCTTCATCCCGCCGCCGCCGCCGTCGAACAGCGAGCCGACATCACCTGTGTGGTTGGTCAAAGCACGGATTTGGCGGACGTTCTGGGTTTCAATTTTACTTAAGTCTTGGCACCAGCTCAAGGCTTGCCCGGCTTAGATCGCCGCATTTGTGCACGGTTTTCTTTGTTCGTGTGGGCTTATATTGCAGATTTGTCAATGGTACCGCGTCTGCGACGCGGGCGCCTTGCGTTCTTTATTTACAGTCGAAACAGGGTTGCAACCTAATATCGAATTTTACAAGGCAACTCGTTCTCCTCGAGGGCTAGGTTGTCGTGGTCGTCGTCACCTCCGCCCTCCTCGTTCTCCTCGAGGGCGAGCTCGTCGTCAGACTCCTCGGTGAGGAGACCGGGTCGGACCGACGGCGCCGACCGTGGCGCCTCGGCGCCAAACAGCTCGGCGCGCAGAGCCTCGGCCGCGTACTCGTCCATGCTCAGCTTTTGCCATTGACGACACAAAAGATGTGCTGCGAGCAGATCGCTCAGAGCGTCCTTCATCATACGCGGAACGGGAGGTCAATCGCAACCACACCGAAGGGGCGGGTGCGGAAGAAAGAATAGTTAGAGGCTGCGCAGGCCGTCCCGTTTGCTGTTTGAAACGGCAAACGCCTGTTGCGCTGCGCGCGCGCGCTGCCGGGGCTCTGTCTGACTGTCTCACTCACGTGCCGCAATATGTGTCACACACGGCGGCTTCTGCCACCTCTCGATTGGTTCCACTTTCTACGCACACCTACCGGGGAAGGGGCGCGTGGGAGCGGGGGCGGGGGCGGGGGCGTGGGCGGGGGCGCGCAGCAGTGAGCGCGCGCGCGCAACAGACGGGGTAGGGTGG